GTCTTTCACAGTGACAAACAGTTGAGCAGTTTCTTTTGTAAGCAATATCAGGCATGCGTATAAGTTTTTGATTGATCAGGATGATGAAGCTTCACCAATAGGAGTAATTTCCAGATATTTTTAATTGGCTCACAATTCTTAATAAGGCTAGCAGTTAAAGTTTGTCGAGTTTCATTTTACTTTAAAGCCCCACGGTACTACTTGCTCCCTCTATAATTATAACTAGTACTGGTGGCCTTTAACAAGACAGTGAAGAGCAGACTAACATAACAAATGATACAAAATAAATTAAGAAAGAACGTTAATGAAAATGTCCTGCACATGCACTTCCATGCATGGTGCTAATTAGATTCATAAATCTTAACAATACAAAAGGTCGTATTCCATTTCTATTATATCACATGCAAGAATATCATGTATATGGCCTATATTGGTGTTAATAATTCGAGGTCACTTTCCTTACAAACCCCCAACATTAAAGAAATTGGGTATCTTTGCCTCAGATTCTGAACCATATAAGTCAAACAGGAATCCTATGACTTTTACAAGCCGATCGCCTGTCTGATTATCAAGATATTTATGATTGGAATTCGATATGTCAAAAACCGTTTTCCCAACGGTTTTTATAACACTACAGTCAATTGGGACAAATGAGTATGGTAAAACCGGTCACTCAAAGATTTTTAATTTTTTTGAGGCACTTCGTGGTCATTTTGAAGCGCATTTTTTTAGGGCTTCAATATAATAGACACTGACAACACGTAGTGCCATGCATCACAGCTTTGTAAAACTGGAAACATTGTTTAAAAAAATGCCTTTAAGCGTGTGCTGGAATAATTGAACCTTAATAGGAAGTCGATTGATATCGCATAGGGTTTCAATGTGTGATTCATTAGAGAAAGGATTTTGAATGTGACTGAATATTTCCGATCTCCTCCCATATTTCCTTCAGTACAAGATGAGAGGATGATAACCTTTCTCTAAACAGGCCTACTTTTAGTGACCCCTTCAACCCGCGGTAGAAACGTTTGATTTGTATGTTCTTTCTTCCAATTCTGAAATAATCAACAGGGATTTATGAACTAATAGATCATGCATTGGATATAAAAATGTCCACTTTATTTTCTACTTGCTGATGTTAGAGGGTTATTTTCAATTTTACTTTCAATCTAAATGTTGATCAAGGCAATTTACCTGGATTGTTGAATGGACTAATTAAATTTCATTTCTGTATTTTGGAAAACCTTCCAACGATATATACCACCAAATAAACTTGATTCAAATTTAAAATAAAATAGAGGCCCTACTTTTTAACAATGTTTGTTAAAGACAAATTATAATTATTGTGTACAGGTTGGCATCACAGTTCAGAGTGTTGGTCTGTGTTTTTTCTTTCCTGGAAGTAAACAAAATTATAGTATCTGCAGCCCCACCCCCCTCCCCGCCGCACGCAGTCAGGCGGTTAAAAGTCAGGGCGCCGTGACGCGTCGCACAGACAAAAACACTCTATAGAACTTATATTTTGTACTAGACTTGATTAATAATAATCTTATTCAGAAAATATATTAGATTGAAGCTAACATCTGAAGTAGGTGCTTTTTCGTTGGATGCAAGCCAGTTTGTAACGAACCAATGATACCTATTCAACATCGGTCTAGCTCTCTGTCTCTGTATCAGTCTGTAGATTGTCTGTCTCTCTGTCTCTCTCTCTGTCTCTCTCTCTGTCTGTGTGTGTGTGCGTGTGTGTGTGGTGTGTGTGTGTTGTGTGTGTGTGTGTGTCTCTCTCTCTCCCCCTCCCTCTCTCTCACTCTCTCTCTCTCTCCCTCTCTATCATTCTCACCACTCTCTCTCTCTCTCTCTTTTGCTCACTCATTGTCTCTTTTACATTATCCTCTTTTTCTTCCTTCCAAATACAGTCATGTACCTTCACCCCCTATATATTCTTCTCTTGTAAGTTTATGTGTCTTTTCCTCGCCTCCTCCTTCTCCTGAGTCTCTGTCTAATCTCTTTCTTTATCTCTCTCTCTCTCTCTGTCTGTCTGTCTGTCTGTCTCTGTCTCTCTCTCTCTCTCTCCCTCTCTACCCTCTCTCGCCCTCTAACCCTCATTTCCTATGTCTGTCTATCTTACTCCCCCCACTTCGTTGTATTGTACCACTTTTTGTTTGCGTATTCGTTCTACCTGTAGCATTTCTCTGCTTTCTTTATGTGTCACTTTCCTTTTTTCTTCCTTCATCTTCTTTATTCTGCATAATCTATCCTTCTCTCATTTCTGGGACTTTCTGAACAAAAGATCCCTCGCTTGTAGGTGGATTTCATCATCATTCTTTCTGAGGGAGGGGATTCCCCGTTTCGGCTTCAAAGCTAATGGGCTTACAACATATGCAGTCATGTTTATGGGGTTTTCACGCTTGGAAAAGCACACCAACGTGGAAATTAGACATTCAAAGTACAATATAGGGTTGAGATACTTGAGAATAATATTGTGCTATAAAGAGCACGTCAAATTTTACTCTGATTAGTTACGAGCTAATTACTCTTTGGAATTCAAGAGAATTACTTAGTTATCAAAATCTGAACTATACAATGTCATATAGAGCAGATTTTTGTAATCAAGACTAATTAGAAATGTTCTGTTATAAGTTCTTTTAAAAAAATGGGAAAAAGTAGTAGTTTCTACTCTCAGCAGGCTTTTGATTATGTTCTGGAAAAATATTAAAAAATACTTCAGTATCATAACCGAAATTGATTATAATTATATTTTGTTTTGAAGATGGATTGTATGATAGATGTGACAATTTTCGTTTAATCTTTTGAATAACATGGTACAGCAGTATCTGGATCACGCTCAATATCACCGCTGTTTTGTGAATATTCGTGAATGGTATATTATTTTGATGACTAATAATAATGAACGAAGCTACAGCAGGTGATTTTAAGTGCGGGTGCCAATGTTTACTGCGGACATTATGATGTTGCTTTACAAAAAGCATTGCCGAGAAAAAAGCCATCAGCCTGACCTAGCTAATGCAAAACAAAAAAAGAGCAAAATTTGCCAGGTTCAAGGCTTGAAATGCAAGGCATCTGGCGATGGAAAGTGTCATAATCTGCTATAAACATCACTTTAAAGGTCGATGACAGATATGGGATTAAACAGAGAAATTGCTGTAAATGTTGAGGGATTCAGATCCTAATAATATATATGATAAAGCAGATTATAGGGGATACGAGAGGTTTTGAATTTGTATCAAAATTTATTTATTTTATATATGTGTCGTTTTATTTTGACAGGGTAGCCCTTTCAGTTATAAAAACGGCTCGACCAAGGGGCCCTGTATCAACATAATCAAAAACAAATTTACAAAACATATAAACAAAACACAAATTAAACAAGATCATAATGCTGAAATGAGCGGGGATATAATATTCACGTAAGTATTAAGTAAATTTTAAACTATGTGAGAGAAAGGAATTTGCAGTGTTTTTTAAATGAATAATAATGTATTGATGAAAAAAACATTTAGAACTGTAGTGAATACATGGCAACTTTGGAATGAAATTGAGAGAAAAATACATATACATGTATCACTATTACATTCCAAGGTCGTGGTAATCTCAACTCTTAAAACTCTATATTTTAAAAACTCATATATGCATTTTAATATTTTTCAACAAATTTCTTTCCAGTTCTATCTAGGCGACAGCCACTTCTTTCTTTCTCTCTCTCTGTCTCTGTCTCTTTCTTCACACATAGGGCCTTCACCAAACACTCCCTCTCCCCCAATCTCTATCTCTTTCTCATTCATTATTTCCTGTTATCACTCTTGTGTGAAAGCAGAACAAGAGATTTTAAAGGCCCAGTGCACTACTTGTAGCTACTTGCGCCCTCTATGTAACAAACAATGCCTAATCGGTGACCATTGGTCCCCCATGATCCTCTTTTTCTTATGTTAACTGAGAGCTGAGTTGATGAGATAACCACCTGTCCAGTGACCTTGCAGGGCATTCTAATCCCTCCTGTAAACTACGGCAGATAAGCTTTAAGAGAAAGATATTGGATGAATGATCATAAAGTTGCGACAGTTTGAAAGCTGAAATCCGTAACGACTGTAACGAGTTTAAAAGCGGCTAATGGGTAATTCGACTGTGATTTATTTTGTCTCTATATGCTTCCGGTTTACTATACATGAGAATATTTTGAATATTAATTTCTGTTAGAAGCAACCTTTCCCTCTAGGATGTAAACAATGTTTCCTAAATAGAATGTTGCTCCGTGTCCTCAAACAAGAAAGACTCTGCTCAGTGATACAATTTATAAGTTTTTTTTAGTTAGTTTGTGAGTTGGAGAAAGGGGAGTAATCAAAAAGAAATAAAATTTAATGCACAAATCTTTGTTAAGTGTCTCGCTACAAATTATTTCATTCATCCCTTACAAATGATTTTATTTCAATAGTCTGAATGCGAATTGCACACATTATGTGTTGTTAAATAGGACAAGCCATAATTTTTGTCCTACAGTATATAGCAGGCTAGCAACGATGCATGTATACAATTCGCATTCTGATTATTGAATACGATTATTTGCAACAGTTGAATGAAATAACTTGTAACGAGGCACTTAACAAAGATTTATGCAATAATTTGATTACATTACGAAAATGACCTGTCCTATTCCCATATCGTCTATAAATACACTGATCTTGAGAGCCTGGAGGATGGTAACATATCATTCAATATATATAATGTTAATGATTGCCCTTCTGGCTTCCCAAATTTCACAAATTCACCACTTTTCGTATTAATTATCTTATTTTGTTCAAACTGTCACCAATCCGTATCTTTGACTTTTCGCATTTCATTCTCATCGTCATTTCGAGGGATCACGCAACTACTTCACAACAATATCTGCCAAAAGTAAGAGCCATGTTGGCCTCTGCCAGATACCATTCAATCATTCAACAACTTGCAGTCAAGAAATACAAAATCAACATCAAAAGTCTTCATTCCTTTCTTAGAGAAGGGATAAACACTCCCAATCTTTAATAATAGTAGTCAACAATATTGCAAACTCTACTCTTTTTCTTATTGTTGCATAAATCTCAGAGGCTTTTATATTATATACATATATCATTATAACAATGGTCAATATACACATCTTGCTATATCAACTGCATTAATTTCACCTCGAATTACCTGTAGTTATACATGTATGACTCAGTACCTAAACAACGGTACTGTATAGAGGGCCTATCTTTAATAATAAGATGCAAAAACTAGATTACAAATAACATTAAATAGTACCAGTTTCCTGACAATTCTGAGGCAGGCATTCCTTTAACGATCATGTACACAGAGAAGAAAAGAAAAACTTGCATTGAAAATAGTAATCATTAATAGTATCATTAATATGCATGCATCACTGAGGGGGGGGGGGGACTAAAGGATTCAAGCTTCATTATGCAGGAAGAGATCTTGATAGACATACACTAAAAATAAGAAATATACAATACACAAAGGCAAGCACGTTTATACATGTAGGTAATACCGTCGACTGCCTGCAAGAAGGCGGTAAGTAAGAGCTTTGGACTATAACGGCTTTCTTGCGGTCAGTCAACGATTTGCACAAGAAATGTAAGATCTCTTTAGAATGGTTAAAATTCCAACTTAATTAACCAAAAGGCAGCTATCATATAAACTTCCAGTATGTTCTCTGCTCTATAAGACTTATAGAAGTAAAAAATAAATCTTGGAAATACAGTGAATTCTTGATTTATCTGAAGAGAAGTTTAAAACAGAAGAAATACACAAACGTGATAGGTCTAGTTTAAAACGAATCCTGATTTATGACTGACAAGGCAAATGACGATTTGAGTGACTCAAGTCATCAAATAAATTCACTAAAACCCACTTATTAAGATCTTTACCTCATGATCCATACAGCATAAGAGAACAGCAAAAACTTTGTGGCTCTCCCGTTTAACCACATTTGGTGTCTAAAACGGGAAACGAGGTTAGACTAGGTACAAAGCTCTCGTTATAAATTGATTGTGAAATGATTAAGAGCTAGTGGTTAAACACAATTAAGCAATGGTAGCGTCTGTTCGGGTTTATCACACATTTAACATTTTAAAGGAACGAGAGCTTCGTTCCTGTACCGCAGGGAAGATGTGTAGCCAGTGTAGAACATCATGTATGTCAAAAGTTGACCTTACTATAGCCCCTTGTACTGCTGATACTATAGCTCCCTTGTATGGTACTCATAAATGGCAACTCTTGTGAACAAACAAACAAATAAATGTGTTTATCAGATGTTACAAACACATGAATCACAGTCAAAATACAATCATCATCAGAACTCATATACGTTTGGTTTGCTATAAGAATGATTTAACAACATTAAGTCAATAATTGTGTCATGAAAACATGCCTCTGAAAACCAATGAGATCTTATTTCACTGTGTCCCACATACTGTCACCTGAGAGCAAGAAGGTGGTTAACTCCATGTACATGTAACGAGAAGTGATATTCAAATAAAGCCCTTTTAGCTACCATCACATGCATGTACCATTACTACGTATTTTCCCCACTTATCAATGAGCATTTCTGCGATGGTGCCAATTTTGTTCTTCAGACCAATTAAAGATCACTACACAAACCACCAACGTCTAGGCGACCAATTTGTGATAGAATTCAAAGGAAATTAATCTTGGGTACGCCAATATCCTATTGGAACCAAAGCCAAAGAATTTTTCCACTCTGTAACTGATACTTCCTATACAACATGTACATGTACATGTACGTGTACTGAAGTTCCAAGAATATTATAAATTGATATAGGAAATGGTACTATGTCTCGACATATCAGACATTTCCCAAGGCCACATGAAAGAAGTAGGGCTTTCAATTTCTGTGAATCTGTGTACTGTAAATACACAAATTAGTATGCACTTTCTTCTCCTTGTGTGTAACGGTGAACCTCTCATGTGTAAACATTTGTGATTAAATCAAGTCTGAAGAAGAAAAAAAAAAATCTACATTCATCTATTAAGACTTCAGAGCCAACAGGGCGGTAAGTTTAAGTATATGAGCTAACGTCCTTCTGGCTCCAAACAGGTAAATATTATGAGATTCTGATTAGTTGAAAGTCAATGCTACATTGGATTTATGGAGTTACTTGAAGCTTTAGATGCATGACATGAAATACATGTATAGCCAACTTCGAAGTGACGTACATGTACAATAATGTACATTGATGAGACCCAATATACTCGCTAAACTACAAAATGTATGCAATACTGGTGAATATAAAGAAGGTACTGAACCGTTATTCTGAAAAATGAGGTGAAATTTGATCAAAAGGGCACCCGTTATAATAAGTTAGAATACATTGACAGAGAGAGAGAGGTAAAGGCTTTTTTATGACCACTCATAGAGGTTTGGGACTTTAAAAAAGATGAATAAATAAAATTTTGAAATATATGTTTACTTAAGCAGTTTCTGGCATTTACTGATAATAAAGGATATCAAATATATACAGAACCAAACATATAACATAAAGTCTAAATTTTAGGAAGCAAAAGCTGGGATATGTTTCATAAAACTTGTATATCAATTTATATAACTTTTCAGGATTACACAAATTTACTCACAACGAATCATAAGTAATGTTTACGCTAACATATTTCAATTATTGGAAATTATGTGACAGGGCCCTAGACTTGATGAAGTTTTGAAGGATCAAGTTACTAATCTATTGTATGATCAAGATTTGCCTTACATTGTACATGTCAGTCACTATTTCAAACTTTCGCCCCTGGTTTCATAGACTGACATGCACAAATCATACTCCATAGGCCTTGCACCAGTTTGCAAAAAGTGATTGCTTTTGTACAAGAGAAATATAAGTAGATCTTGCAGGATTTTTTAAAGCAGATATTCAGAAAAATTTAGTCAAGAACCTCTGTATTTGAGAAGAGATTACTACTAAGACGTTCATTCTTTAAAACAAAATTTGTTTGGGATTGAATGCGAGCCAACATGAAATAAGGCTTCAAGATGGCCAATCTACCTTCAAGTATTTCCTATATCTTTCCTTAATTGATCACTTCCGTCCCTTCCCAAGAGGGGTAACATCGGTCTCTCGATACTGGGTTGCACCCATGAGGGGGGTTGGTTTTAACCCCCTCCTATTCCATACCGGTAATCAACCTTATACAGATACATGTAGGAAAGGACTTGTTTTGGCTGACTTGTACGGTGTACTACACCTGCATGTGGCCCATCTTGTACTCATCTCTACTGGGTAACTTACATGTACATGTAAGCATGATTACTCCCCCCCCCCCCCCCATCATTTCTTTCCCAAGAATTCACTCTACCCAGCTACATGTCCAAGGGATAAAATGGTCAAACAAAAAATCATACACCTATAAAAATCTGTTCTTTCCAGAAGATATAATCCTATGAAGCCACAAGAAATAAAAACATTTGTTTAAACTAAAGTAACAAGAGAGTGAACACTTACAAAAATCAGCTTAATAGAAGGGCGTATGTGGGTGTATTATAGTGAACTTTCTACTCATTATGACTGCAAAAGCAGAGGATTTAAAACATTTACTTTTTGTCTGCTTGCCTGTCTTGCCATAATTCTACTGCGGAAACGTGGGAGATCAATCTAGGGATTTGGAACCAATTACTGTTCAGAATCGTTTAGCATTTTGATAATTGATGACCTATGATATGACACACTGACTTGCATACACCATCGTAACCATATACCACAATTTTACTTGAAATGACTTTTAAGTCAACCTGTGCACATTAAGTTACTCCTCTGCACTAACCTTTAGATTTTATTATCAGTTTGTTCTGAATTTCTGAACCAATTTAGCACTTCAAATATATTCTTACCGGTAAATGAAATATGCATGCTTTTGTAACAAACATACAAATTTTCCATGGCATGACTGGACTACATTAATTAGCCTATTATAAACAAAATATGGTGTTTACCTGTATGGCTGACTGACACTCAGACAGTTTCATAAATCTTGTTATAAATAACAAATACTACAATTCTATGAAAAATTGGCTTTCAGCCAATCAAATGCCATGGTTTTAGTAGCCAATACATTTGTAACAGTTATTGGAACTTGTTATTGAAACATGTTTTATGAAAGAGGCCTCAGATTCCATTTCCAGTATCAGTGAAACCTTCTTTAAAAGTGACCACCTGAATAGAAAGACCATCTCTCTAAATAAATTTCACATTTCTGTACGTAAAGCCCACCTTCCTAGAAAAAGTGAAAGTTCATTGAGTGGTCTTTATATACTGATTTCACTGTCCTATTGTAATATTTAAACTCAGATTATTGTAAAAGGAATTTCCTGTGTATCACTGTACTACCCTTGGTTCACCTTATACCCCTGGAACACCTTATGCTCTTAATATCTATGAATAGGGTTTCTTGTGACAGAGTACAAAATTGCATGACAAATTTTGCTACAATTTACTGCACAGGATACAAGCTTGTAAAATTACCGGTAGTCTAAATTCCTTTCCAAAACAATATTCACACAAATAAAGTCATACAGTGCTGCATGTTCTGAGTCTCAAAAGGTATGATGATTACTTGATTAACATTCACTATCTGCCAATGGAACTCAGTGCTCTGGACTAGGACACTAAGTATAAGATTTTAAAGTTCAAATAGTATGTTCTTCTCTGGCTCTGAAAGTTAGCTTTTTTTGCGGCATACATGTACAATGTAGTGCATAATTTCATGAAAAACATGCATTTTTTGACAAGTACAATTTTTTTTTTGACCTGAGTGCTTAATAATTCACGAGACCCGATTTAGAAAATGAAATACTTAAATAATTAATAATTTAATAGTTAATTGGATCCTATGAAGAGGGTTTTTAAAGAAAAATACTATGAGCTCAAAAAGGATTCCTTTTATGGTAGCAAGAAATCTTCATTGGTAAAAAAATAAATTGAACAACTGATTAACTAAAAGTCTGACATAACAGAAAATGTGCTAAAAACAAAACATTTCTATCTATTTTGTAGCCTTTACCTGAAGACTTTACCTGAAGACTTTATCTGAAGTAAAATTATAGATGCAGTTTGATGTTTTGGGACATATCATTCTTGGAACTTCTTTATACTGCATTCTGTAAAATTAATCACAAATATATTTTAATAACCAGAACTTTTAACCAATTTTGAATAAAATACTAGCAGTGCTGTTCTACAGTTTTACTTAAACAGCGCAATTTTCCTTTTGAAATTTGAATGTACTAAACAGATTAAAACGGAATAACAAATAATCAATTTCTTTCTCATGGACAGAAAATTCAGTCTAATGAATTGGCGTTCATGTAACATGTACATGTACATGAATATAACAGTTAATCATGACAATCGTGCAGCATTTTCAAAAAGATAAATCTCTAGAGTAAAATCTGCATAAAAATAATCTAAACAAAAACAGACTAAAGCATACATGTAGGACAAAAAAGAAGAAAAAAATGTTGGTAATACATTGCATGAATATGAAAGTAGCTCTGTATAATTTAAGAATATTAACTACATGTACCTGAACTGGTTAATATACAAACCAATAGATCATGAACCCAAATCAAATTGCAGAACATAGATTAACCAATCAACATTACACAATACACATTTAATGCATAGCAACAAAGCCTTCAAGAGCTTTAGGTATATTCCCTAGGTAAGGAATCTTGTTCTCGATAATACACCTGGCTGCTAGACACTGCAGCTTGGTGTAGTTGATGGGTGCAAGATCGCAAGACACTTTGAGCAAGTCCAGTGGGGTATGACCGTCCAGGTTTCGGAAATCACAATGTGCCCCGCGATCCAGGAGCAGCTTCATGATCTCATTGTTGTCCACCTTGCTACCATTTGTTGTGATGGTTGAAGAACCCGGAGCAACAGCGTTTGTGGAAGCAATGTGGAGAGGTGAGTTGCCACTGACGTCCAAGACGTTGGAGTCGGCACCACACTCTAACAAGAACTGCACAACTCTCCTGTCTGGAAATTCGCAGACGGGGTAACGCCCAACAGATGAGGTGGCCTTGTCAACAGCAAGATGCAACACGGTGAATCCCTTGCTGCCACGGAGCTGGAGTTTTACGAGTTGGTAAGTTGCCCGTTTAACGTCTTCCATCTGTAGAGGCGTTGCGCCTTCTCGCTTTGCTATAAGACACATGAGGTGCATGAGAATGAGGAGGGTTCGATTGAAGTTTGTGGTCTCCTTTTCCTGTTGAGGACCGAAGGGCAGCTGTGCAACACCGCGCTTCATCTCGGTGATCCCTTTCAAGTACACAACCGCGACATCACCGAAGGGTACATGCTGGTATACACGTTCAATGTTTCGTTCTGATAACATGTACGCAAAGAGTTCTGCGAACGAGAGTAAACTGCTTTGTGTCATAGGATTTAGAGGTTCTAATGCTTCCTGTTGCATTTCCAGTGCATACATCCATAGCATAATGCATCGCTCAAAGTTGCCTGAATCGGCATAGACTGCGCCACGGTATCTGATGTAGTAGGTCGTGTCTGGGTGTGCTGGTCCGAGGATTCTCTCTCGTATCAGTAAAGCTTGCATCCGCATTTCATCAGGATCACCAACCATATTTTCAAGGTCCTGCCTGCTTTGAGCCTCCACTGTGTACTCATACGCAGATACAGGTTTAGCACATTTGTGTTTATGAACAACATGAACTTTGTCATTGTAACGCAGCTCCATTGCACGTTCCCAGAAACCAATCGCTTGATGCATATCCCTTTTCTTGTCTACAAAGGTTGCTCCCACCAGCTCTAGAGCATCAATTTTCTCTGTCCTTGGTAGGTCTTCTGCAGCAAGGTAATCAACAATGTTCACATGACCTGCCACTGCGGCAGCTTTGATCGGCGTAATCCCATACGCATCAGTGTCCATCTTCGCTCTATGCTTCAACAAGAGCCGCATGATTTCTAGACTTCCTGATTCCGCACAGTCATGCAATGCAGTGTTTCCTCTCACACTCTTTCTATTTACATCTGCGCCTAGATGAAGTAAATACTCTCCAATTTTGTAATGTCCCTTGTAACACGAAATCATGAGACAGGTGTGTCCATGTCGGTTGGCCAACTCAATATCTGCTCCATGTTGTATGAGATATTTGACAATATCATAATGACCATCAAAGCAAGCTGCACGAAGTGGTGTCGAGTTCGAGAAGGTGGTGTGATTTACCTTGGCACCATGTTTGATAAGTGTTGAAACAGTTTGATAATGCCCTGCGGCAGCGGCGCACCACAGCGGTGGCGCCCCATCGATCGTTTCTCCATCAAACGTTACAGAACCAACTTGTTCTATATCTGCCTTGCATTGTTCAATGAAATACGTTACCACATCTATGTGACCGTGTCTACAAGCAACAATAAGTGGTGTCGTGCTATCCACAATTTGTGACACAATCCATTTGATCTCTTCCTTGTTGAAGTTCTGAAACCATTTTTTGATGCGGCACAACTTCCCATCCCGAGCAGCGGTAAATACACTCACTAAATAGAATTTGGGATCACGCGAACTCGGTGGTTGTTTCTTTGACATTTCTATACGACTCTCAAGAATGCCTCACATCAAAATCTAGTGAAAATAACGAGAGGAACATGATATTTATAGGGTTCATACTTGCGGTTTGGGTGTCAAGATGCGTGTAATTGCAGTGACATGGCGGCCGGTGTCAAAATAAATAGCGCCATCTCTCGATTCTTCGAATGTAATCCTCGCTCAGAGCTCACCCTTGCATGCAAAAAAAAAAGGGGGGGGGGGCGAGGGGAGTGGGAGTTGGGAGTTGACGGGGAGTTGATTGCTGCCAAACTACTAAAATGAATATTATTTAACTTCTTAATGTCCCTCTCCCCCTCCCCTCTCTTTCTCTCTCTCTCCCCCCCCCCCCCCCCCCTCTCTCTCTCTCTCTGTCTCTCTACGGATCTGCCTGAATTTACTGTTGGAATAACCTGGAACTTTGGCATCCAAATATTTTTTCCTTTTCTTCTGACGACCATGGAATCCAATCTATGGTTGTAAATAAATGAATGAATAATACTAGGTCGCATGACCTTTTTGGCCCGTTTTGGTTAAAGGTTCCATGACATGATTGGGCAGTGTAACTAGGTCGAGGGGTGGGGGAGGGGGGCTATTGCGTAAAATGGTGAAAAGTTAATTAAGCACCCCCAATTTTTAGAGCCTTGCCAGTACCAAACCGCAAAAAACGATGATTTCCCCCGATCCTCTTTCTTACATGGTTTGGTTTTAGGAATAATTTAATTGTGGAACCTATGTCGGCAATTTCAAAATTGTGGCTAATGGCTAATAAAAGTCAGAGGACCTTTTGTCGACATGCATGAGTATAGTCGCTGGCGAACTTGAGTTGGGGGGGGGGGGGGCTGCAGGGAGGATTTAGAACCAAATTCGTAATGATTAAATACTTCATTGCTGATGGGCAGGCGTGGATTCTAGGGGGGCCGACGCCCCCACCCCTGAACCCCCCCCCCCAAAAAAAAAAAAAAAAAAAAAAAAAAAGTTTTTTTGTATTTTTTTATTTTTTTATTTTTTTATTTATTTATTTTTTTTTTTTTGGGGGGGGGGGGGGGGGTTGTATTTTTGTATTTTTTAAATTTAGTGCTCACACTACCCCCTCCCCCCTCCCCCCACTGAGCGATTTTCAAATTTTCAAGGGAAAAATGAAAAACAAATTTAGAGCTCACTAATGATCAATAATTATGTTGAATTTCTAAATCGTACAAAAACATAAATATATACAAAATTAAAAAGTACGGAACCTGGCAGAGTAAAGAAAAGTGTTCTGTGTCCAGCGCTCAAAATACACGGGGGCGGTGGGCGATTCGCCCCCGTGAGCTCCATAATCGCCCCCGTCAGGTTGCTCACGGGGGCGATTGCAAAATTAAAAATCGCCCCCGTGGAATTATAAAATTAAGATTATCTTTTCTGATATAACTTTAACACAATATTGAGTATTAATTTTCAAACCTTAAACCAATGAAATAGAACTTAGATGGCGCTTTCTCTACCATCTCTACGAGTATTCCCGATACAAACAACGGAAGCTCGCGGTGCGGCCGTCAGCACAGTGGCTATACTGCGCTGGTAGTACCGGTGTGCACGCTGACGCCCAATATCTGCTGGAGCTGGTGATCGACAATCGCGCAAGGACTGAAACATGGAGAAGTTTTTCGTTGTGAAAGTTTGAATCCTCTGAAATCTGGTGATTCTTAAAGACCAGCAAATAATGTAACCCGACCAGTAAATCAATATTGAGAAGAGGAAGAAGGCATAAGATGTTGCAGGGGCGGATCTAGGCGGTTTAGGGGGTTTGACCCCCCCCCCCCCACCCTTACGCTGCCAAGGAAAAATGTGATGTGCACAGAAAAATGCTATCATGTGTCCAGACCTACACAGTATTAGTAGATGTCAGTAGATGCCAGGAAAACATCACTAACGGGGGTTCAAAAAAGCACCAAAAAATCGCCTCGCCGCTTCGCGGCTCGTGGACGATGATCCGCATGTTAGTAGATGCCAGGAAAACACCACTTACGGGGGTTCAAAATAGCAACAACAAAAATCGTATGCTCCACATCGTATTTGGGGTACCCCCCCCCCCACCCTTAGCAAAAAGCTTGATCCGCCCCTCTGTTTTGGAAGGATATGGTAAAGACTAAAAGTAAAGAAAGAATGTAAATAAGGTTGCTCCGAATAATGAGGAGGAAATTATGTGCAGAACGGGAAGAAATGGAGAAAATGTCCTCACGGGGATAAAAGTCAATAACAGCTATGTAACAAGTAAATTTCTAAGAGGAAAAATACCGACTTAGATAAATGATAATGATAAAATACCAAGGAGTTTCACGGGTACCAATTCAATGGAAATTTGTATTAAAATAAGAGCCCCCGTCAGCACTAAAAGCGCCCCCGTGAGAAGGCTCACGGGGGCTCTTTTTTTTTGGAAGAGCCCCCGTGGGCAAAAAATTAATTTGAGCCCTGTCTGTGTCATTGGCTTCTCTCTCCTGACTCTCAAGTGATAGGTATTCCTTTAATTTCCTCTTAAAATGAGCAAAGTTTTCTATTTCCTTTATATCCTTATATGAAGGGAATTCCATTGTGTTATGGCAATTTAATAACAGAATACTCTTTCTGGTAAATTATAGTTGAATCGGCTATTTATAACAAGATCGAATTTGGATCAAATATAATGATTCGACCTAGTCCAGTGGCGGATCTAGGGGGGGGGGGGCCCGGGCCCCCCCCCCCTTGAGAAAAAAAAATCATGTAAAATCACGTGATTTTTACCTTTTTTGGGGGTTGGGCCCCCCCCCCCCCCCCTGGCGCTCAAGGGGGGGGGGGTGCAAATTGAAATTTTTTTGAGGATCAAAAAAAAAAAATGTGCTCACTACCCGGGAGCAAATTCGGGAGCAAATAAAAAAAAAAAAAAAAAAAAAAAAAAAAAAAAAATTGGGCCCCCTCCCCTAAGAAATCCTGGATCCGCGCCTGACCTAGTCTAGTATATCTTATGCACGTGATGTAATGCGAGTTGTTTTGATCTTTGGTTGACTTCAAGAAAATCGGCTTTAGAAAGTTCGCTGTAGCAAACATGAGTTCTTGGACGGTGGACCGTCCAGAACAGTTTTTTTTTTTTTTTTTTTTTTTTTACGTTTTTTTTTAAATTCCGTTAAAACATCCCATACATAATACAAATAAAAAATGAAACAGAAGTATTTCAAATATATCATTATCATAATACAAAATGATGATAATTGATGAATATAGTATATAACAAACCGAGATTGTGGATTAAAAAAAAAACAAGAAAAAGACAGAACAACATAACAGGTTACTATATCCTAATTTTAGCACATTCCATTTTTTGCGAAATCTATGTATGGATCTATTTTTATAACAAATATATTTTTCTGTAAGGTATGTTTGATTTAATAAGAAATGAAATAAAAAGAAGGGAGTATCTCAAGAGATTTACATAAATAGAATATTTCCTTTGCAATATTTGTCTGTCTTGTATCCCAAATAAGATCTCCTCGTCTGTCAATTGAAACGTTTCTTTATTAAATCTAGTATGCCACCATTTTAGAAATTCGTTCAAGTAATCATGTGTATATAAACATTCTACACACAGGTGCTCAATCGTTTCTGGCTCTTGTTTACAAAAAGAACACATTTCATTGTCTATTACTTTCATTTTTCAGCTTTGCATTTACCAGTAAGCATCGTGTATATTATCTTATATGGGAAAAATCTAGTTCTTGTATCAAGAATAATTCTAAAAGGTAATTCATATATAAAATCATATTATTCTTTATTTATTTCATATTTTGATCTCCAGTAGGTTTCTGAAGTAGGCTTTTGGTAATTATTTTCTTTTAGTACCATGCATATTAATCATCTTTGTTGACAATTTTGATATATAAATTTGTCTATTACGAAATATTATACAAGTGTCCAGCTGTTTTGATAAATGCCTATTTTCAACCACTGCGGAATGGCAGAAACGACTGAAAGCCAAAGAAGATAATTCTTAAAACCAACCGTTGCCACTTGGAAAAAATGATTAATTTTCTATTTTCGTCAAACATGATCTTCTACCAATATCAAATAGTTCTTTTACAAAACAACTGTTACCAGCTTTCTTTATTTGTCCATTGTTCCATATAATAGTTTCTTGGGAAAGTCTATTATTGTAACACAGCTCTCTAAACTCAAAATATGCCTATAAAACCTTTATATGAAATAAAGGTAGATGTCTTAATTTTAAACAATCTTTTTTGTCAAAGTGGCAATAAACTAAAAATTGTCCACCATATTTTCTCGTAAACCAGAACAGTTGATGAATTTCACCATTTTGTTCTGTATAATATTCAACTTCTTTTGATCTGGCTTGTTTATGTTACTATACCATGCAAGGTTAGCAAAGTCAAACAAACATTGGATAAGAGCAAAACAGAGGATACGTCTTGCTTTTAAATCCATACATTTTTGATATCGTTCTGTACAAAAAAATTCAGACGAGAATTTGTTTTTACTACAACTGATTCTACTAAAGATGAAAATAGTCAACTCAATGCCTGAATACTTCATTCCAACATTTGTCCTCATGAATTAGACATGTTTCAGTCAAATGTCGAAAACCAGATTAAAATTCATAAATTCATAAATTATATCATTTTCTTGGAAGTATTTTTCAATTTGAACATTAACAGATTTTTCTAACTAGTTTTTTGCACCACCAGCATCGTGCATGCACCCCACCACCACCATTACCATCACTGGCACTTTGTTGAAAAGGAATAAGAAGAAGAAGGAAGAAGGAAGAAGGAAGAAGAAGAAGAAGAAGAAGAAGAAGAAGAAGAAGAAGAAGAAGAAGAAGAAGAAGAAGAAGAAGAACTTAGAAGAAGAAGAAGAAGAAAAAAAAAGAAGAAGAAGAAGAAGAAGAAGAAGAAGAAGAAGAAGAAGAAGAGAAGAAGAAGAAGAAGAAGAAGAAGAAGGAAGAAGAAGAAAGAAGAAGAAGAAGAAGGAGGAGGAAGAAAAAAGAATGAAGAGGGAAAGAAACAAAGAAAGGAAGAGAGGAAGGAAGGAAAGAAGGAACAGAAGAATATGCTCTACTATATGGGGGGGGGGGGGGGGGGGGGGGGGTGTGAGATGATCCGCTTGCAAACATAGGTTTTCGCTGCTCCGTGAATGCAGAATCTGCATTGCATTGTTCTCGCGTTTCATGCGACGGTTGACAATCAGACAAGCGTACAATTACAAATGAACCAGCGGTAAATACAAAATCGGAAAATCAGTCAAACCAACATGAAAAACCAGCTGCTGACCTAACCTTGGCAACCTAGGTGAGAGAATAAAATGAAACGATTTTTTTTATTGATGGGATATAATTTTTTACTTACAAGATTAATAACAGATCGAATTTAAGGGTCCGCAATAATCAAACTTTCATTTGTTCAGTCCCACAAATTATTATTTATGGTTGCTTAACTCCAGGGAGCTCCGACGCCGATGCCGAAGGCGCAGGCGTCGGCATCGGCGTCGGAGCTCCCTAGACTAATGGTTGCTTTGTAATTGTCCCGGCCCCCCACTCAGGGGTCGCAATGACCGCATGCGTGTTGCCAAAATGTCCGGTAAAGGGGTACTTTTCGTGCGACAAAGTCCGGCCCGAGAATTGTAAAAAAAGGGGTGTAGACTCTAGATCTAGACCTAGATCTAGACCTATTTGACTTTTCACCCGGAGATTTCTTTAAAAAGGGGGTGTTTTTTCTTTTTTTCTTTCATATCTTTGGACTCCTGAGAAATTATTCCCAATTTAGGGGGGTACATTGAGCATTTTTCCTGATTGAGGGGGTCTCCAAGGCAGGAAAAGCCCGTGAAAAGCCCGCGAAAGGGGGGTTCGAAAATGTTGGCAGTCCTCAGATAGGGGGTGCTTTCAAAAAGAGGGAACGAGCATATGCGTACCCTAAATAACACTGAGTGGGGGGGGGGGGCCGGGGTAATTGTAGATCTACAGTACAGAGTACAGATAGATCTAGTCATGAAATTCTGAAGGCGTGAAACAATAAGATTTTAAAGATTATCTTGTCATAATACATTCAATTTCAAGCCTAGGCTAGGACTAGGAATATTTGGCTTGCCTTTGTTGCGTGGCATGGTTGAGTTTAGACCGAATTTTTCTGTCTCTTTCGTTTGTTAGCCTCTGATTTGGGTATAGGGTTGGCGCAGGTTGAGCTGCGCTGAGACTGTCTGAGACTGAGAGTGCAGTGAGACTCGCTTGTCTTGAGAGTGAGACTTTACTTGAGTGAGCTGAGTTGAGGCTCACATTCACAGACACGGCCCGGTTTTGTTACACAATGCACTGGCTCCACTGCAGTGGCCATGTCTTTACTTGCTTGCTTGGTAGATTAACCCACCCTTCCAAAGGTAAGGGCTCTCAATTTGGCTTTTAAAACTAAAAGTTGCTATCGTCATGAATGATTGTAGGCAGCACTGCACAAAAATTCAATAGTAAGAAAACATTCTAGACTCTACTCAAAATCAAAGGACTGTCACGTCAGGTAGCTATAGTACTACTACTTGCACTGGAAGAAGAAGAAGTTCAAGCGTAATTTGATTTCGCTGTTAATTGTGATCAACAAAGAAATTTTTGAAATTGTTTACTTTAGGGATCACTTTCCAATTTTTAATATTTGTAGGTCTATTATAAGTTTTTATCAGAACAAACTTTGAGTTTTACCTGCGAGCTGTTCTCAAGATCCATGTAGATGGCATTTTTGTTTACATGTAGAATTGTAGACAATACTAGACATGTATGTTCGCAAAAAGAGAAATGATATTCCACAATATAGTTTTGGAAAAGTAAAAAACTACATTTGTTGTCATGTTGTATTGTCTTCAAGTCTTGTCTTGAAAATGCTGCCCCCAAAACCCTTCAAAACCCTTCAAAGTGGCTATCGATGTGCAGTTGGTGCATGCATCGCATTAGATAATTTAGGGTTTTCTGTTTATCATCGACATTAGTTTAATCATCAGTTGACAAAACGTTACAGATTGTTACACAGTTTCTATAGAGCACAGAGGTAGTATATCACACCGCACCCCCTTATCAAACTTGACTGCTGTGAATCTGTAAGGGCATGAAGAAAGAGAAAGAATAATATTTATTATTAGTTAAAAAGCACTTGTAGACATGGTTCATCAGCTCTAATCTTATATGGGTTTATGGCCAACAATAACGGGTTCATTGGTCAAAAAAGAACATCGAACTCAGTACACTGCTGGATAATTAGATTCAGGGGCTTTTGAAGTATGTACATGTATAAACAATTATACTCAAGTAAGTCAAGTTACAAATTTCGGGGTTCTCTTAAAAATGTTGGGGTTTCAAAGCTTGCAAAATGAAATTGATTTTTTTTTTCTTTGTATATGACCCACCCAGCCACCCTGGATTTTTTCTTTTGTTGGTCTAAATGTGATACTAAACATCAATAAAAGAAGTAAGGCTAGAAAAGGCACTCTAAATCATCATTACAGTGTGATTTGAACTTGATTAGATGCTCTAAAAATACATGGACAAAAGAAGTCGTAAAAAGAAATCTTGTTTTGAAGTTTTTTTTAAACTACAAAAATAACAGGCAGCCCTCCAGATCTACTAGTTTTACAAATTATTACTAGCAACTGGAAATCATGTTTACTCAGCCATGGACCTTGACGAATCTTGAAATGGAATAATGATTTTTATTTTTTTTAACATTCATTTTAACACATTTGTCAATACTTTGATAATTAAAAAATGAAAGTACATGTATGATATGAAATGAAATATGAAAGTATGATATGAAATGAAACAGGGAATATTATTTGTTGTGATTTATGCAGTTGACACGGTCATTGATCTAGACTCTCTCTCTTGAGCTCTCTGGGCGTAATGGCATCGCCTTCTTCCACCATCAACTTCCTGCCATCTGAGGCATCTGCGTCACCGGAGCTAAGACGGAGCCCCTCCCCCTTGGGCAGGCCTGGGAGCCCTCTCAGGTACAGAGAGCCGAGCTATGGCCACATCACGTCCTCCCTTGCATCGCTGCCACCCTCCTCTACCAATGACCCTGCCTTTCTGCAGCAATTGGTGGTGCAGTTCAGAGCCCAGGTCAAGCAGCTTCAGCAGGAACGAGATGAGAAGATAGGTAAGCAGGTAGTGTTATTATTAAAGCGGAACTGCACTACTCGTAGCTACTTGCGCCCTCTATATAGCAAACAATGCCTAAGCGGTACCCGTTGGTCCCCCATGATACCCTTTTTCTTATGTTAATTGAGAGCTGATTTTGATGAGATAACCTCCTGTCAGTGACCACGTGGGGATGTCTAATCCCTCCTGGCCAAACTAGTGCAGACAGGCTTTAAAGTGAGAGAGTTACTAAGACCATTGGGTCTGTGTAACAATGAATACCGCTACTTATGTTGATTAGCTTTGCTGTATAACTATAACTATAATTATCATTATGCTAAACAGCAGTAAAATCCAGACATTCTTTATTCATTCATCTATTATTCTTTTGGCAACATCATCATTTATCCATTTTAGTTCAGTGCTACATATACAAAGAATACTATCAATAGTACTACTATACATTTTTTCCTCTCCTCTTAATATTTTACAGACAACATGGCGCATCTAAGACGAAGGCTGAATGAATCTGAGAGAGATAAATTAGAGCTGACATCGGCTTTTAACTCAGAGGTATGGTAACTCTTCTGTAGTAGATCCATGTTATCCACAGTCTGGTGACATATCCACCAGACCATGTACATGAATGTGCATTTACAGTATACCCTCTTGGTGGTTTCTGCGAGATAGATGCAAATACATATATTAAGTTTTGTTGCTACAATACTTTTTAGGGTGGTGTGAGAACAGATACGGTGAGGTACCATTTCATATGATATTTGCATTCCCCCCCCCCCCCCTTCCCTGACGATAGTAAACTTGCAAACTGACCCACAGTCAGGTGACTTACCACTAGACCACAGCACCTTTGTAACCGTAGTGTAGCTGATGAGCATGTCATCCATGTTGATCAGCTGTGGAACCAACTGTCAGCGCAATGTGTGTAAAAAACATCTGATATAGGCAAGCTCTTGGATGGGCTCCAAGTCCCTGACCACAATGGTTGTCATGATTGTCATTACCTGTGGAACCATACTCTTCAAACCGAGTAATTAGACTGCTATGTTGTAGGTGCACTCTTGGTGACTCACTCAAATGCCTCAACAATATTTTTCTGAGTTTGATTAAGGAAAAGAGAGCAACTACAATACTTCTTTCTATAGCATTTACATTTTGCCACTATGTTTTGGAGGAATATGTATATATTTAGGATGTATTTATGGAATGAATTTCAAAAACATTGTCAAACTTGTTTGAATTTCATGTACATGTACCTTCAAGTTTTGTTTTTCTATATTTCATTAATGTTCATCTTCTTATTATCTTTATCTTTAGAAAAATTGTGCATTATATCTTTTCAAATTTTGAATAGTAACTTTACTTCTGCTGTCCATCTATTAAGTGATCTTTACTTTTTCTGAAACAGAGTATTTACTATTTTTGTTTACACTTACAGAACTCTGACCTGCAGGCTCAAATAGCCAAACTGAGAGCCCAGCTTGAGAAAGGGGAAGCTGATAAGCAGAATGTAGAATATGAACTAGCAGTGGCAAGGCAGTCAGTTAGCAGAGAGAAGATTGGTGCATCTGAGAAGGAACAACAGCTGAAAGGCATCATCACTTCACAAAGTGGTATTGATTGATGAGGATATTGATGATGGTGGTGGTGGTGGTGGTGGTGGCGGTGATGGTGGTGATGATGATGATGATGATGATGATGATGATGATGATGAAGATGATAATAATGATGATGAGGAGGAGGATGATAATAATGATGATGAATGATGATGATGGTGGTGGTGGTGGTGGTGTTGATGATGAGGAGGAGGATGATGATGATGATGATGAGGATGAGGATGATGACAACGAAGATGATGATGATGATGATGATGATGGTGGTGTTGATGATGATGATTGTGATGGTGGTGGTGGTGGTGGTGGTGGTTGTGGTGGTGGTGGTGGTGGTGGTGATGGTGATGATGATGATGATGATGATGATGATGATGATGATGATGATGATGATTGTGATGATGGTGGTGGTGGTGGTGGAGGCGAGGATGATGATGGAAATGGTTGCTGTTGGAGATGGTGATCATAAACTAGCAAGAGATTGGGATGAGATAATAGAAGATTTACATCAGTGACATCAGGGTTCTGAGGTCCAGTGATTAAGATGATGATGAAAATGATTAGTTGTGGTGATCAAGACAATTATGATGATGGTGATGATGAGGAGGAGATAAATAAATGCTAACATTTGGTTTATAAAGAGAAATTATCCTCAACATGGCTATCTCTCACAAGCATGATATATTGATACTTTGTTTGTTCTTAAATCTCCAGGGCCACATAACATTAAAAAAAAATTATCAATTGATTGCAGTTGACCTTGATATATTGATTGTTCAATCAATCAATAATTTTTTAACTGCTAACCTTTGTGTTCCAGTGCCCATGTATGGTACTCATAGATGTAAACTTATATTTTCTTTCAGAGAAATTATCCAGCCTCAGTGCTCAGGTTCAAGAGCTTCAGATTCAGGCTAGTCAACATGAGAGGGAGATGGTGAACATACAGAATAAACATCACAGAGAAATGGATGAGCAGGTACGGTCTAAAATGTCTTCCTAATTTTTGTTGGCCCTGTTTTTGTGAAATATACCATCAAACTGCTTTCAAGAAACTTATAAGACTCTAAGACTCCTAAAGTTAGAGTCATTAAAGTTTACCATGTGTAAGTCTACTTGTAACCAGTCCTGTGCATGATCTGTTCGTGCTAGAGTTACCCCAACAAAATTGTAACCAAGGACAAATGAAAAAGCAAATTAGTAATAGTTTACAAATCTGAAAGTTGAAACTATGCCAAATTATTTCATCCTGATAGCAAGCTAATTATGCGCTGTTTGTAAACCTGTCAAAAAATTGTACACCTGTGCAAGAATTACTTTGGCAGTGCAAATTAGTATCTTTTAAAGGTAAATAACTAAAAACTTTCAATGAACAAATAAATTAACATGATACATGTGCTTTTTGTATTAATAGATACCATACATCACTTAAAGTGTGTTTGAGGGGGGGGGGGGTGGGGTCAACATGAATTAATCAAAGTATTCTACATGTATTTTCAGGACTACACACCCCCAAGAAAGATTACCAAGTCAGAGTCCTTTTTCAGGACTCCTCAACCATCTCTCTCTCTTTCACATGGTGCATCCGCAAGCCTACTGTTCTATTTGTATTGTGGTATAAATAAGTCAGAAGTCATAGCTCTATGTCTTTGTAATTAGAAGGGTAATTTCACAGGACAATTGTCACCACATGTATATTCTTGCTTACCCTAAACTTTTCACATTGATTTTCAACATGTATGTTCAAAATTTCAAGAGTACCTTTAATATGTGTTTCTGGCCAACTTTATAATTAATTCACAAAAGCAATATGACATGTGGCATTGAGCAAGGCGACAGTTAACATGTACCTGCCTGCTCAAAATTGTAGTTATGCATCCAATGACAAGGACATGTCAAGAACCTCTTGGCAGAGTCAATGTTTACGGAAAGTGTTTTTTCAATATTTAATAAAGGGTAGTAGAGTTCATACTCTTGACCCAATTCTGGTAGAGTTCTTGCCCAGATTAATCTTGGGCTTGATTTTTTTCCCTTCTACCTTCCGTTGTGTCTCAAGTAGTGTTTTCAAATTATGTAGAGCTTAGATTCATAATAAAGGCTTATGTAGTATATTTTGGACTTTCAGTAAAAAGGTTCTGTATTCCTTATGTAGAAATTTAACGAAAATGGATCTTTGGTAGGGTCAGTAATATAACCTAACAATAATAAGCTTAAGTTGGACTTAACTATGGCAGGCCATTCATGCCACTGTTTGCTCTCACTGTTCACTGGCATTGGTCTCTCAAGGGACGTACAAATCATGGTCACATATCTACAGAATTTACATTTTTTTGATAGTTCATTATTGAAGGAAAAAATAGTATATAAAGATCATAATTGAGAGGCCAATTGTGAGAGCAACCAGTGGCATGAATGGCCTGACATAGTCAAGTCCAACTTAAAGTCGATCTTAGTCTTTGTGAAACACAGCCCTGATCTTTAAATCCGATCTGAATAGATTATTCAGGTAGGATTAAACGATCTATATCAATATCACTCGTATCTCTTCTCTTCCAGGAGAAGCGTCTTGCGAGTGTCATCGCTGAGAGGGATGTACTACAGACGGCCAAAGATGAGATTGAACAGGTCTTCCATGAACAAGAAAGGTAAATACAGAATCCAATCCCTGACCGCTTCACTAACCCAATATTTGGAATGACTGGAAAAGAGAAAGAAAATCATAATGAAAAATGTAAATGTTATTGTTTTGTACTCCTATTGTAGAAATTAACGAAAAAGAATCTTTGGTAGCATCAGTCATATCTTTTGTTTTTAATTGCCATTTGAAAAATAAGATTTTCTGAAAGTGATTTGTGTCTATTTCATGAGGTTTTGTTGCAAGGGCTCCTTCTTTAATACAGAGAGTTGTGACTGATCGGAATTCTTACTATCGCCATAGTTTATGTTCAATTCCCATTTCACTCATTCACTGTACTTCACTTCATTTTCTCTGGGATAGCTTGGTCGCCAAGTCCCTTCCGGTCTATTTTGCGCAGCTGTTCTTTGCATGCTGTCGCTGATCCTGAGTGTGTGTGTGTGTACAGTACATGTGATTGCAAGCAACCAGGTTTCATCAAACGAGATGGCTGACTGTATACGTATCGAAAAAATGAAATGTAAATTGTGTTTAATGATAATTTTCTGCCCAAGTTAAATGTAATAAAGTAAAGATATTGCCATATTCATAGAATACAATTGAAACATATGGCCCATGGATAATATAGTATAGAAATATGAAAAATAAGCACATTTTTCAAATACATCTATCATGAAATACATGTAAAACAAGAACACCCCTCTGTTGCGTCCAAACCCTTTACTCACCCTGGTTCTTCTTCACTCTGTATTTCTTCTTTTAATTTTATTTGCTTATTTGAGGACACCATCAATTCTCAACCTGACATAACTTTATTTTCAAGTTTCAAGTTCAAGTTTATTTATTTCACTTTATCAAAGATAACATAATTGAACATAATGAACAATGGTAATTATTATAACTAAACATACAATGTAGAAAACATAATGTACATGATAATAGTTATACATAGAATACAATCATATATATCAATCAATAAAGTGGGAGATCTACTAAAAAGCAAAGCTTGTATTATGTAGGTCCCGGTTCATAGGTTTGTATATAAATTAGGGTATCTGAATTAACATATTTACTAATATTTTCTGACAGTAATCATGATTTATCGTGATTTTCAAGTGATCTCAAGAGTGGATCATTACGTAAGACGTTTGAAAATATTGCTTAACATACTAAACACATGATATTTGGATGTGAGGGACTAGAGCAAGTAGAAGCATAGAAGTCATAAGGTCAACCTTCTTTGGTTGTGTTCATTGGCACGGATGGAACTACAATAAAGGGTTTGTTGGCTTGTAGGAGGACCAACAGGTTGGTTAGCACCTGCCAATACACACAACCAAAGTTATGTTTTATAATAATAATAATAATAAAAACGTTACTTATAAAGCGCTTACCACCGAAGTCTCTAAGCGCTTTGGTCGGGTATTCTAAAGTTAATCCCATCATCTTCCTAAAGTTTTGAGAAGAGTCTTCCATTGTTACAATCTGTTTATCGATATGATTTGGAGTATCTTTCTCTTGTTTTTAGTTGCTGCTGTCACAGAAATTGAGGAACCTAGAAAAAGCTTTGGGACATGTACATACGTATACTGCGCATGTATATAATACATTACCGGTGCACTGCATGCATCGTACACCGGAAGTATGTACGTCCTGGGAGTGGATTACCTTCAGGAGGCTACATCTAGGCATGTTAGGCATATTGGCGATCTAGGGAGGATTACTAGCAAGCCCTCCAAACAGTCACAAAGTTGCATTTGCCAACATGTTTTTATACATATTTGCATTCGATTTCAAACTCTACCTGAGTAAAAGTTTTATTGTGATCAAGTGCAAGTTCTCTCGAGTGAGGGCCCTGAGCTCTTTTTAAGCTTTCCAGACTTTAATTACTCTCCACTTACATGTATGTATTGTTTCGACTGGGTAAGACAAGGGCCAGCTTGTTCATTTGCTTGCTGTTATAATAAGCAGCAAACACAAGGATGTTCTTGCTCATGTAGTTATGCAACCAGTTAAATTGCCGCTTTAATCCTCTAGCATCTGAAATGCACAAAACCACCTTTCATGTTGCTCAAGACATTCCCCAATCTAGCCTTTTCATTTGATTGAACCATATATGCTTCGGCAACCATTATATGCATAAATCAAACAGTGCAATTTAAAAATGATCGTAGAGACTGTCAAGAAAATAATTTTTAATTTTTGTTCTTGATATTTCAAGTTTGGTTAAGAGCGTACGTGCAGTATCCTACCGGTATATAAATTAGATTTAGATTATGGATTTATGTGGTACAAAGTAATGTTCACAAAAGGTGATGTACAAGGCTATTAAAATTGCCTGAGATTAATACTTTGAACATTATGGTGATTAGGTGATAGGATTTGTTAATACAAAAACGTGATTGCCCGTTAAAGAGGAATGGCATTGTTGATAGCTTTATTTGCTCTCATACTTCTCTCAAACTGAGCCCAAAATAGTTCCTGTCCATCTTCATCATCCATCCACAACATGTAAGGTTTGTTCCTACTCATGAACAACCTGACAAGATAGGGCAGGTTCTCATCCTCGATGTCCTCCACAAATATCAAGATGATTTTGTCCAGACCTGTTTCGTTGAGATGCTCCAGTGCCATACGGAGCTTGGTCATGCACCAGGCATCACGTATAGATTGGTTGCTTATCAACAAGACAGTCTTGAAGCTGTTATCCAGGGCGTCATTGATGGCATTGATGTAGAACATTCCAAGATGGAGGTCTTTGTCTCCGTAGATGATGTTCTGCAGATGCGGCAACCTCTCCTCCAGGGCAGGTTTCATGACCCGATCAACCCATTCCTCTTCCTCTTCAAGGAACATGAGGTTCAGATGAAACTTGTAGTTATCTGCATCAAAGGCTTCTGCCATTTCTTCGTAGCCAACAACAGCAAGTTTAAGAAGGAAAAGCTTGTGATTCAACCACCAACGTCTGTTGTAAGCAAGCATAGTTATCAGAAAAAGGAAAATACCTGTTAAGGAAATACCTACTATAAGAAAGACATTGACTCCACAATGATCTTCAGGATGAAAGGACAGTATTGGCTGTTTTGAGAGTCCTTTCAGGGACGTCCCGGAGCACAGGGTCTGGTCTGCATGTTTAAAATCAATGTCGGCAGAGTCCAACCACTGCCTGAACCATGCCAAGGGGCATGTACAGGTGAAGGGGTTTTTTGAGACGTCGAACCTAAGGGAAGTATTACCTGGTAGAACTGTTCCAGGTTTAATGGTGCTGATTTGATTCCCAGGTAGATAAAGATCCGTCAATGTCAGTGTCTGGGCGAAAGTCTTGGGGTCCAGACTACTCAGGATATTGTTCTGGAAATACAGCACTTTCAGGCCGAAGAGGCCATTGAATAGGTCTCCAGGAACCTCCACCAGATTGTTCTCACTGATATAAAGGTACCTTAAGGAGGGGAGAGGACTGAACAGTCCTGACCTTAGCGTATGTATTCTTGAGTTGGTCATATCAAGATGGACCAGTTGTGAAAGGTTCTGAAATATCCTGACATCAAGGTCATACAAAAAATTGTCTTTGATTCGCAACTTACGAAGCGAGAAGAGACCGGTGACAAGTGACTGATGTTTTTCTTGGTCATATAGAACTGTATCTTTCAACCGTGCCTTCTCCATACGCAGTTCGCTTAAACTACTCATGTTGGAAAACTGCTCTGTTGACGCTGGTGACACCTGGATGGGTGCATTTGATAGATCCAGAATGAGAAGTGTATGCAGTTGACAAAAGGAATTTTGCAGAAATGTGGTCTGCTCATTTTTCAGGTGCAGCTCTTTCAAATTTAGTAAGCCTGTGAAAGCTGTGTAACTGTAGTAATTAATGTTATTGCCAGATATGTTCAATGCCTCCAAATTGGTTAGTCCATTAAATCTCTCCTTGGAAACACTGTCTAAAGCATTGTTGGATATGTCAAGCATACAGAGGGTCTTGATTGTCCAAAGCTGCTGGTCATTGTTCAGTGCATCGATTCTGTTACTTGAGAGGGATATGGTAAGAATAGATGACATACCATGGAAGTATCCAGGAGAGAGAGTCTGTAATAAATTTCCAGATGCATTCAGTTGTTTCAAATTTTGCAGGCAAGCAAATGTCCCATATGAGAAGGATGTTAATTTGTTGTATGAAATGTCTAGTTCTGTAAGTGACTCCAGACGACAAAATGACTTATTAGTGAGGAGTCTGAGTTTGTTAAGACTCAAGGAAAGCACTTCCAAAGTCGTGAAGCCCCAGAGTGCACCCTCTTGTACAGTCTCAAGCTTATTAGTCGATAGTGTTAGACTTTTGATGGTTGGGTAAGTGATGGACAGATTGGAAGGTAAGTCAGGTGGTACAAGATCATGGATCTGGCAGCCAAACAATGATAAATGTTCGATGTAAGTCATGCCAAGGAAAGGTTGAATGTCAAATGAGTTAATATGATTTCCTCCAAGCAGAATTTGTGGTATCGAATTCAGATGCAAAAAACATTGTGGTTGTAGAATTTGAATTTTGTTAGCCATGAGGGTCAAAGTGCCAATTGTTGTGTTCTGCAGAGGAAGAAAGTCCTCTTGTTGAATTTCTTCAACCTCATTTAGTTTGAGGTTTACGTATTCCAGATGGTTCCATTGAGAACATCCCTCAAAGTTGAGACTCTTGATTTTGTTCCCCGCGAGCTCCACATTTGACAAGTTGGGTATGTCTGAAAAGGCTTCATGAGGAACAGCTTCCAGGTGATTGCCATTCAACAGCAGCTTTGTAAGTAGCAAGTTCTTCAGAAATATTTTTGGAGGTATATAGTCTAGATTGTTCCCAATGATGATGAGAGTACTGAGCTTTGTCAACTTCCAGAAAGTCCTGCTTTGTATAGAATTTATTGGGTTCACCTGCAAGTTGAGGAGGGTTACATTTGGAACACCCTGAAAAGAACCGTTGTAGAGGACCGTCAGTTTGTTGACGGACAAGTTGAGCTCGGTCACACCTTGGGGCAGATCCTGAGGAACCTCTGTGAGTCCAAGGTGCTCACAGTTTGCAATAACTCCATGGCTAGAGTTCTTCAGCCGGCATTTTGTGGGAGTCTTGACAGTTTCTGCACCAAATGCATCAGATAGTTGCACCTGTAGCCAAATAAGTCCTACTGCAAGAAGTAGTAGCTCAAGACAAATTTTGCAGCTTATGGTGTAAACTGCCATAATTCTCTAATACCAGACAGGTAGAAATATATAGTCAGTGCACTTTTGAGATATTACAGTATCATCAAGAACAAGAACTTATCAGAGTGTTCATCTAAAATGTTCCATTTTCCATTAGCACACAAAATAATTAATTCCTGATTTTAGTGCTGGAGCTTCAAATTGTATGCAACTAGCAGGAAGCCAGTAGGATTGCCTAAGAATGTCTCTTATGAATAATTTTGTTGAAAAGGATTTTTAAAAGGAATTTAGCTGTATTTAAGTGTGAGACAGGAAGATTGTATTTTATGTGACATCCTGTTTTATTTCCTCTTGGTGTTGAACTGTTGATCTAAGAATATTTATAGCTTGTTCAGACTGAGTTTATCAGAGCTGCCAACCATTCCATTTTGCCGGAATTACTCAGATTTTTCCTCCAAATTACAGTATTACGTTTTTTAATAATTTAATTTTTTTTTTTTTTTTTTTTTTTTTTTTTTTTTTTTTTTTTTACATACCGCACATCAAACCACTGCCCTAAGATGGTGATTTGATCACAAATTCAATAGAAAACTAATTTTAAAACATACTTGAAGAGAAAAGTATTCTAAAAAAAAAATGAAATGCCGATAATACCAAAATAACCACCAAAAAAATTACCTGCTTGTATGGAAAAAACAGCATGATGAATGAACATTTCTGCATTGGAAGTGTGTCGCACGTGGTTGTAAGTTTCGTTTTTATGAATTCCTTTTTTTGGCTTGAAATTCCTTTTTTTTGCCATCATGGTTCCTTTTTTTGGTCGCTCAAGGTTGGCAGCTCTGGTTTATGCAGGATGCAGGTAAAGAAATGTTGTTAAAAGAATCATCATGCAGCAAATGGGGCACTGGGGCAGACGGATGTGGAAAGAGTATTTGTATGAATTATGAAAACATAATTTGAAACTAGCTTTGAAAAGGTCAGTTAGCATATGTTAAGTGTCACCATAGATGACATCTGGTCGAGTGGTTTAAGGCGCTTGACTTGAGATGCGAAGGTTGAGGGTTCTAATCCCGACACGGCACTAATATCCTTTGGCAAGATATTAACCCGCACTTGCTACTCTCCACCCAGGTGTTAAATGGGTACCCCGTAGGATGCGACCGTCATTGTTGGTCAAACAGTTTTTGAGCGTGAAGTAACGGGGTAGTAGTATATTTGTAAAGCACTTAGAGACATTGTATTAAGCGCTATATAAAAGCTAAATATTATTATTATCTATGCACACTCACATGAAGTTAGTCCCAGTTACACAGTTTTCATACAATACACCATTCTCATGAGCAGGCCTGATAATTACCAATTTTATTTTTTTCCCAATTTTTTTTCTCTCGATTTTACCCCTATTTTCCTCTTTTCTCGTGAGTTTTCCTACTTTTTCCAAATATTCTTACAAAAAAAGGGAGGAATGTTGTTAGATGCCATTCCCCCCCCCCTCCCCGAATCTTTTTTTTTTTTTTACTCGAGGGGAAAAAAAAGAACAAATATTTTTTTTAAAATAAATTTTTAGTGCTTACTGTCACCCCTGCATTAGAAGTGGCCTCTGATTCTTTATAGAATTTTCCTTTGATGTGATGCTCAAACAAATAAGTTCACTTTCAAACTGTTAAAATTAAGTTCAGAATTTCTCAAATTTAGACTCTACAAAGTACCATACATGTACCGGTATGTGAAAGAAAGCCCTACTCTAGAAAAGGAAGCAAGCTATTTTTCACTGAACTGCTATTAATTCCAAATCAATGATAATGATGATGAAGATGATGGAGATGATGAAGATGATGATGATGATGACAATGAAGTTGATGGTGATGATGATGATGACAATGAAGTTGATGATGATGGCGATGATGGCGATGATGACGATGGTGATGATGACGATGGTGATGATGTTGATGGTGATGATGACGATGGTGATGATGACGATGGTGATGATGTTGATGATGATGATGATGACAATGAAGTTGATGATGATGATGATGATGATGATGATGACGATGATGATTGTTTTATTTAAAAACTGATTTTTCCAGAGAATACAAACCTTTGATACCTTAAAACTATTTGCAATTCCACACTCATCTCCATTCACTCTATACTGCTATCTGTCTCTCAGCTTGTACTCGGATGCTCAAGAGAAGATGACAGAGCTGCGAATAGAGAGGGACACACAGACCCAGACTGTGAGGCAGCAGCTTCATGATCTCCAGGGGGCCGCAGAAAGAGATGCAACTACCAGGACAGAATTAGTGGTGAGTAGAAAATTATTGTTTTTCTCTTTACAACCCCAAAAGAGCATTTCCAGACTCATTTTCTGTCATATTTTGCTTTTATATTTAGTTGAAATTGAATAATATGAAGCTTGTAGGTATATCAATGCTGTGAAAATGCACTTACTCAGACATGTAGTTCACTTATTAGCATATACATATATAGTGATCATTAGTGCATATGCGTTCCTTGCTTATTTTTTAAAATTTATTTCTTTTAATTAAAAGGATATATCTGCCTGTGAGAGTTACTTCCTCCTTAGAGGCAGTTTACAAATTCATGATTACAAACAAATTTTAAGTACATGCATCAAAATGTAAATATTTTGATATAACATAGTTGATGTAAAATATTGAAGCATCAATCAGAGTGTAAATAATTTCTTGTGTTGATAAAATCATGGGAAGCTACTGTTGTATGGAAATAAATTGAACTTCACTTGGAAGGAAGTGAGAACTATTGCTATTAAGCGGAAAGTAGACAAGCAAAGTAGTTGTTTCTTACCCGGCAGTAAAAAAAATGTTCGGATTTTTTTTTTGGCAGATAACATCTGCAAGTGTTGTCTCCATTGTCTTTGTAAATTGTTCCTGTGTTTTATTTGATTCTCATTTAGGCTGCAAAAGAAGAACTCAAAGAAATGCAGGAGAGAATAGAGAAGGAGAGATCAGCTCACACAGAATCCAAGTTTAACTTTGAAATAGTACAGGTAACCATGCATACCGTAATCTATTTGTCATTTGCATACATCGTATGCTTGGGTATTTCAGCTTAAAGGCATAGACCAGTTCTGGTCATGCGATTGCATTGTGAAAGAAACATTGTGGAATGGATCAAAAAAGCTTGATCATCTAGCGTGTGTATACTGCAAGGTTCTGGAATCATCAAAATGATAAGAAAATTGGCCCAGTCTTATCTATCCAGGCCGGATAGATATGATAATTCATCAAATATATATTAGTAGGCGGTTTCCCGGCAAAATTTGTATCATCACGTATTAGTCAAAATATATTCTCTCACATGATTGGTAATAAGAGCTTCCATTTCATTTTTTGAGAGGGGGCGTTTCCAAAACTGGTCTATACCTTTTACCATTAACAAAACTGATAGAACTAAATTTTGAGTTTATATTGCCTTTTTCTTCAGTAAGGCTCCATCCTTCCCCTCATGAAAGGTATATCTGTACCGAATTACCAAAATTTGAAGACTAAAACAAGTGTAATCAGTGTTGTAGCATAGTAGAAACAGTATCCTGATGGAAAAATCGTGGCTTCGGAATGAATTCAGTTGCAACTCGCCAGTTTGATTTATTACCAAACAAAAAGGACTGATATTTTTATATGATTATTGATACAAATTACTAATTTTATTTTTCATTTTACCTGCTTGTTTGAGGAACGTTATACGGTGGATTGTAGTCTAAATTTTCACGCAGTTCAGAATATTTCTAATATTTTTCTTATTTTTCTAGACATCTCAATTTTCTACCTTTTCTAAATCATTTCCACTTGCAGTGTCAGAAACGAGACTTGGAGGGAGCCCTCAGTGTTGAAAAGTCTGCCAGGGAACAAGCTATTTATAACATGGATGCCATGAGCAAACAAATCAGGTAACAAATCACAATCCATGCACATACCTGCCAACCCTTACAAATAATATTTTTTTTGTTTTTGTTTTGTTTGCTTGTTGTTTTTTGGTTGCTAAAGCCAAATTAAGCTTGTTTTATCATGTTCCGCGACTTGAGAGTTCATGTATTGCATGATTTGAATGGGTGCATGATCAAGCAACGAATTTGTATTCCATGTTTGGCACAGATATACTGCGTATTGCCAGTTACACTGCCGCTGCATGTGCGAACACCTGTTAAGGGTACAGATTTCTTATTTTTGAAGGCATACCGTGCTAGAAATTCCTAATTCTTATTTTCAAATGTTGGCAGGTATGCATGCATATGAATTGCTTGCTCAATCTGAATGTCGAAATAAAATTAATGGTGAAGTATAATATCAGTCATTTGACAGATGTTGCAATTCCACTCCGTTCTCCTCTAAAGAATAGTATTGGAAAGCGTAAATATTTTTCACTGTGATGTTCTGACCTGTGTCTTGTATAAAGTCATCATTATGATATAGTATAAATAGAACATATACAGTGATAATCATTTTCAGAGATAATCAGGTGAGACTGAAGGTACACTTGAGGTCATCTTTTTCATCATAATTTTATATCATTTTATGTTTTGATTGTATTTTGTAACAGAGAACTTGAAGCTGCTTATCAGGAAGAAAGAAGAGAATGCACTTACAGCAAAGAGCAAGTTAAAAGGTATAATATGATTAAGTATGTGATATACCTGGATGCTGAATACAATCACATTTCTAATCACTGTTATTCTTGTTATTTAATTATAAAAAAATATAATTGTTGTTATTTATGTATGACTGAGTTATTAGTGCTTATTGTCCTCTTTAGATAGTTAAATGATATAGAATGATGCTGTTGTTAATAGATTTTATTAGAGACTCACATCAGATATTCTTATCAGCTGAGGTAGATCTGAAGAATAAACAATTTGCTTTTAAATGAATGTCACCTCTCCCCAAAACTCAACCTTTTTTTAAAGTTGAAATGACTCTAATTCATAAACATGACAAATTCTTCCATGAAGACTCACTGCTGAGTACGAGACAACCAAGAATGCTCTATCAGCGGAGATAGATCAGAAGAGAGAAGTCTTATCAGGGACCTCTCAACAGATAGACCTCTATCAGAAGAACTTTAATGGTTTGAAAGATGAACTCACAAGGGTTAGTATGCCTTAGGGCTGATTGCATTAGAGATTATACATTGTACATAGATACACGTAATCATAAAGTTTTAGTTTAAAGGGGAGAGAAATTTGTAACTTTATTATATGTGTTAAAATATTGTATATCTTTTTGAATGACAGAGACGGAGAACTGTCATAAAACAAAAGAGAAATGATATCGATGGCAACTATGTCCATAAGAGATAGGGGACTGCCAATTTGAGATTGAATGGAGGACAATATGAGGAGAATATGATTATTTATTGACAGGCTTGCTGATCTCACATTCTTATTCATATTGTCCAGAAACATTGCGAGTTTTCTCATTCTATAATATATCCCAAGTTGGCCACCCAATATTCAAATGTGTATCTTCTTTTTTAATCTTTATATATGAAATTGGAATCCAACTACCAGTACCACATACATCTGGGAATCTTGATGTACACCCCCTCTTTCTCTTTTTTTTGTTGTCTCTCTCTTTTCCCTTTCACCAATATTTTTTCCTCCATATTTGTATTTATTATGTATCCATTTAGGGTAGTCATGCTATCAAGCTTTGCTTACTTTGTCAATCCTAGTTTGATGTTTTCAATTAGTTACAGCCAGCCTTACATTATTCTATATTATTTTTGTCATGTGCAAAATTTGCAACGTTTTGTTTGTAACATATTTGTAAAACTGCAAAAGAAAAAGAAAATCAATCAGAAATAAATAAATCAAATCAAATCAAATCAATTTGTTGACAGGCCAAGAAAAGGCAGATCTACCTGGAGGAGACGTATGGAGGGTGCATGCGAGAGCTGGAGCTACTCCTCTCAAACTTCCACGTAATGGGGGAGGGCAACCTCCGACCCAAGAGGAAGAATGTTAAAGGGAAGGGGAAGAGGAAGGGTGGGGAGGGGGCTGGGGTGGGGTCGCAAGAGCTCTCCCCCTCCCTGGTGCTGGAGACCCTGAGACACACACTGACAGACTACCAGCAGAGACTGGATGAGACAACACAAGAGGTAAGTGTGAAAAGATGCTAGCAATTAAGAAGAATAAATGAGGAGGTGGAGAAGAAGGAGGAGGAGGAGGTGGCAGTGGTGGTGGTGATGCGTGATGGTGTTAGTAATGGTGGTGATGTTGTTGCCGAGATGTTGATGATAATGATAATGATGGTGATGATGAAAATGATGATGATGATGATGATGATTATGATGATGATAATGATGATGATGATGATAATGGTGATGATAATGATGACTTTGATGTAATGTTGATGATGATGCTGATAATGTTTTTTAGTTTGATGATTGTGAGTAGGAGGAGGAGGAGGAGGAGGAGGAGAAAGTTGGAAATTTTATCTTTGAACCATGATGACACAGAATGGTTCAGCATCAATTAAACACAGATCGAATCATGCGGCTACATTGCAATCCCAATCTCATAGTATGTTCCTCCTTAAATTTGGTATCCTTTTTTTCTTCCCTCTTGCAGTTGAAACGTATGAAGATGATCCATGACAAACTTGCCAATGAGTGTGAACACTATAAGGAAGTCACATACTCTAGAGACCACATGGTCAAGGTGAGTTCACATTAAATTTTAATGATGTTTATTTAAATATAGTCTTTAAACTGAATAACAAAGTGTGGAGTATTATGGAGCTGTTAACTGTGGTTTTTTTTCAATAATTGCATAAATATTTTCATTTCATTTTCAAATCACACTCAATGAAAAATCATTGTAATAGTTTATATTTTGTCATTGTTTAAAAGTAGGTATATGGAAAAAAATGATTAAAAGGGAGATCAAAAATCTATCAATGATTTAAAGAGAAATCAATCACATTAGAAAGGGTCACTTCAAAACCAATCTGAAACAACATATCATTTTTCTCTTCCTCTTTCTTTTTTCATAGGACCTCCAAAGCAAGCTATCAAGTAACGTCAAAGAGCTCGAGAAGGTCAAAGGTCAGTCAAGCGAGCAGGAAACGACCTTGTCCCGTCTGAAGGTTAAGCTACAGAGATCCCAACAGGGTCATGAGAGTGAGCAGACAAAAGCATACAATATGGCAGATGAGTTTGTGAGACAGCTGACTATGTTAGAGAATGAGCAAGAGGTAATGAAATAACCGTGAGCTTCTTTTTGTGAGATATGATGACAATCATCATCGCAATGATTGTTTTGCCTCTGCCGACCAAAGGTTGTGCTGGCGGCATTATGTTTCCATGTTGTCTTTCGTTTATCCGTCCGTCCTGCTTTCTTGTTATTATTTTTTGGTTAAATTTCAGAGTCAATTTAGATATTGTTGTGGTATGTAGCAAAAATTGTTATTGTTGTCATTTTAATTTTTTTTTAAATTTTGTTATTCATTCATTGTCCCAATAAAAGTAATGTTTCATTTTGTATTTAGCTGTTTTATTTATTTGGTAAAACTTTATGCAATTCAAAAGGATAGAGTATAACTCTAGAGGATAGATTTATTTAACAATTTGTTTGTCTGTTCTCTACAATATCTCAGGCTTAGCAAAATTACATTGACTTTGCAGATGATTCTTTTGATGACACATTCATGTAGGATGCTGTTGTCTGTTCTAGAAATTCTACATTTATTTTACAAAGTTAAATCAGTAATGTTCTAACCAGCTCAGTATCCCATCAATAAAATACCTTATAATTTATCATTTATTAGAGCATTTAGTAGTGACAGTTTTACCTTGTATTTGACAATTTCAGAATAGGAAGCTCTACCTCCATAGCATCTACCAGCGTCTCTTAGCTGGTAGGGTGGTGATGCAGGAAGATTCGGCCAAAACTGGTGCCAAAAGCCTCGGCTGGCCCGAGATTAGTGCCGGTGTGCAGGAGGAGGTCATACAACTCATGTCAAATGTCAACAAGGCCAATGAAAAAGTGAGTCAGCATTGTTGGTTAGATTTACAGTGACCGGGTAACATTGCTGAAGGTTGCCGTTTATGAAAAAAACTATGTTATTTTTGTATGAAATGTTACTTATTATATTCCTTCTACCGTATTAACCCTCTTACATGCAAATAATCCTGAAAAATTTATGGTTTTCTTTGAAGGCGTCACTGTGCGACACCCTCTAACAGTAAATTCTTCCAACCATTTTTTAATTTTGCCAACCGTTTTCATTGAAAATAAGACATGGGACAGGCTTTTAAAAATCTTTCAACACTTAAATGTCTGGAATGGTATATAGAGCCAATTCATTGCTTTCTGACGATTTACATTCACCTAAAATGTAATTAAATTGTAATAATATAGTTGGGAGAATTAAGGAATCGATCAGGTCAGTTTTTCCCAATTTTTATCATTAATAATGGTCCGTTTTTACTCAAACTTTCAGATTATCTTTAACTGTACATCTAGCATTGAAGTCACTACCTTAGCACCATTTTCTCTCATCTGAACAATGTTTACCAAGTCCCTCTAATAGGTAGTTTCGAATCTCATATCAAAGAACTCTCATATGCACAATTTTACTTTATTCCGGATATTTTCAATGTACTTATGCTCATAGAATTAATTTAAATTGATTATTATAATACTTTCTTATGTATTGTAATCAGAATTCTTTGTGTAATTTTGTTGTAAGCATATTTCATGTTATTGTATTTGATTGTGCATGCAAATGTTAGTCTTTCATCTTTGCCACATTTCGATTATGAGTTAATTGAAATTGAATCGGAGAAAAGGATTGTAAATTGCATTGTAAAATAAATTTCTTAGTGCTTTTTTACTTTGATTAATGTATTTATCCTTTCTCAACCCGAAGGTCATTCTCCTAGAAAGTGAACTGAGAACCAAGAAAGATCAGTTCATGCGACTTGAAGACAACCATAAAGATGCTTTGGATAGACTGGCACAGTCGGGTCAACAGAGGGAGACACACTGGGCCAGGGAGAAGGAAGAGCTAGAGCATAGATACCAGAAGAAAATAGAGGAGTTGAAGATTAAAACACAGGTTCGACAACCAGTTTCTAATCAGACTCTTGGATTAGAAAACATACAGATTACTTGCCAAATGCTATTTTAGGAAGACATTGAAAAGGAGATTGAAAAGTAGAAAAAAAGTAATATTACTCTATAACTCGCCAATAGCTTGATTGACATTTAACTCCAATTAAAATCAAATTGTTATGTCACTGCACATTGGGTAACAGCTGCATTTTGTTGTTGTTTATTTACTTTGATGTTACTAGATTGACAACACTTTTGATACCTTAGATATATATTAAGAGCCTGACTTTTAGTTTTATTTCTCTCATTGATAAATCAGTTGTCACATATTAACCACATAAGAGTCTATTCTTAGCTCTTTGCATAAATAAGAGCTAAAATAGATGTACAAAACGAATATTTTTGGACAAGAAGCAGTGAATATGTCTTTTTTTCTTATGGTGTCCTCAAATAGAAATCAAAAGTTCTCGCAAGTGATGCCCTCGGCAAAGCCCGGCAAGACGGCTCAGCCAAGCAGGAGCTTGAATCCCAGATGTCACAACTCAGCACCACCCTGGCCACCCTGCACACCGAGAACTCGTCCCTCCTGGCCGCCTGCGCCCTCCTCAGCGGTGCCCTGCTACCGGTCTACACCCGGCTGGGACAGCTGGCGGCCCAGAGACGCATCCTGGAGCAGCAGATTGGCAACGTGAATGCGTTCAAACGCCAGGCCAGGGAGCTGGCACAGATGCTGGCGATGGAGCCGGGGAAAGGGGCAGGGGCAGAGAGGGATCATTCCCGTACGATGCAAGGGAAGAGGAGGAGGAGGAGTAGTCGATGTCTGGTGATGAGGTTTAGAGTTGCGGCCATTGCTGTCATGGCTGCACACAGGTAAGTGCAACTTTTATTTGTATTTTGATACTAAATTTACTATGTGAGTCTCGTGAAGAGACTAATTAATCTCTTCCCTCTACTCCCTCATAAAATTACACACAAACTTCAAACAGGCTAGTTATCATTTGAGCTTTCAATTTTATTTGTATGATTGCTTAAACTGGAAGTATCGTTCTTTTCAAAGAGTCCTACATTTATCAATGTCATGTGCTCTGCAAGAAATGAAGCCATTGAATAAGCATGCAAATTTGGTAATATTCCTTCCGTTTACTGTGAATTATGTAGCTCTGTAACAGCTTTATGAAGGACTTGTATCCATCAAAATGCTGATAACTACAACTTCAATTCTTAATGGCCCTTTACAAGTTTCTGTGCAAGTACTCTTCACAGATTGACTTTAAGTTGGACTTAACTATGGCAGGCTTTTGATGCCACTGTTTGCTCTCACCATTATGATCTTTAGATAATATTTTCCCCTTCAATAATGAATTATCAAAAGAATATAAATTCTGTAGATTTGTGACCATTATTTGTACGTCCCTTGAGAGACCAATACCAGTAAATGGTGAGAGCAAACAGTGGCACAAATTAAAGTCGATCTTAGTCTTTGTGAAACACTCTCCAGGGCTTTTGAAGCATGCCATTCCCAAACTCATAGATGTCTCTAAGATCTCAACTTATTTTTCTTCTGTATCTCAAATCAGCTTTCACTTGACACAATGCGAGTGATTCATTCATTTATTTTTTCTTCAGATTATTGCACCTGGCTGGTCAAACCGATCTTCTTTTCACCACCAATGAGAATACCAGTGGTTCTTATGCTGTACCTCTATGCCTAGGGAATGCACACATGCCTCATAGAAAATTCTCAGGTGCAGTACTTTCTCCTTAAAATCTCTCATTTCGATACCTCAATGCTCTCTATCACTAAAGTCCTTTGTGGTTTATAGTGTATATTTTTTCTTAAAATAGAAAGTTGATGTTGTGTTAAGATGATAAATAAGTAATAGTACAACCTTTAAAGATACAAATATAATGCATGTACATTAGATTGGGACAAGTAGTTGTTGAGATATGTTGTTTATAAAGTGTGTAGAGGGTACCCTTTATATGTCATTAACTCATTATGCCTTTGTGTACTGGTATAAAAAACTTATTAAACTACTTGTTTTAAGAAATTTGTTTATCACCTCTTTTTATAATATTTGATAGAAGGAAACCAACAAAGGAATCACTTTGGGGTAAAGATAAGGCTGCTGAAGGCATGTTATTATGTGACCAGCATGTTTATTCATGGATAATAACAAGGCTTGGCACTAAAAGAGGGTTCTCGTGCATATGTTATGTCAAAATGTCACATTGTAAATGGATAAGTGTCCATGAACCCTCTATATTTGAACCCGCAGAAAACTAGTTCACAACTCTGAAGAAGTTTTTTTTCTGTTGAATTTGAATTTGGAAGTTAGATGGTCATTGTAATAAGAATACCTCATCATTAATACATCTTATTAGGTATGAATAGTATAGCGAGTACTAGGTCCCTCCTTGAAGCACAGACGGCCAGCTGGTTGACCAGTCCTGATCTGCAGGCAAGGATTATAGCTTCTGTAGCTGATCTTCAACAGCTGATCGGTCAATCAAGTAAGATTCAAATCCTTGGAACAGATCTCAGGCTTCTGTCCATCTAAGGATGTTTTGATAAACTTTTATGCAAAAAAAAGTAACAAAATAAATGCTGTTGTATGTATACCACACTTAACATAGAAGGACCTATACATTTTTATCATACACAATTCATTTTTATATTAAACATCAAAAAATGTATAAAGTTTTGTCATTGACGTTAAATACCTCCCCCCCCCCCCCCCCCCTTCCTGCGATAGCAAAAAAATATGCAGATTTATAACGTGTACAAGAATGAATTAATAGATTTATAGGTTTATAGAATTTCAGTTCCATAAATGCTGGTCTCACTTCTGTGCATATATTATCAACTTTTATCAAAGATTAAGTTGATTAGATGTACTGCATGTATCTTGATATCAGTAACAAGTCTAATACCACTACAGCATGTGTGCAGTGGAAATGTACAATGCAGTCTAGTATATGAATGTGAGATATCAAGAAAGAAAGATTACCAACATTCATTTTCAGGATTCCCCCCTCCTCCCCCCCCCCCCCCTCCTCTCTCACATGGTGCAACCGTCAGCCTACTGTGTAAGATATCATGTGTCATGTATTGTAGTATATGAATGTAAGATATCATTATTGTCCATCATTTCAAAGGTTCTTCCAACAATGGTCCGAGCACTCACTCCATCCTCCAAGCATCCATGTCCGCCTTCGAGAGCCTGGTATCCCGACTGGCCCCCTGCTTTACCTCTGTCTCCTCCCTCGCCCCCACCGCGCCCTCCAGTTACCCCCCTTACCGCCAGCCAACCTACATGGTGAGGGGACCGTTGGTGCGCTGCCTGGGGCATGGTCTTAACAGGCTCCTTGCACACACATCACTAGCAGGGGTCAAGAACCAGTATGTCACTGTTGAGGTACGTTGATGAGTATGTTCTTCCATGTTTACTCTATTCCTCTCTTCTCATCCGCAGTCGAACTATTTTCCTTTCCTGTCTCTGATTCTCTTTTTGTTTTCGCTTTACCTCTCTCTTTGTGTCTCCTTTTGATATTCTCTCTCTTCCGATTCCCCTTTCTTCCGATTCTCTTCCGATACTCTATTCTGTTCTTATACTGTAGATTTTTCCCTACCTTAATTTCTCCCCTCAACAATGGACATTAAAAAGTTGTTAGTATGGTTTTCTAAAATTAAAAACATTTCAGGATGGCACTTATGATCATTTTCTACAGGTACATCTGTTACTATGATAATATATGTAAAAGATGTTCATGCATGGGTATATAGGCGTTTGTGAAGTAGGCAACTTGGCAATCACTACATAACACTGAGCCAACAGGTATTACCCTCCCGTACGGACATACGCATAAAGGGACACTAGTACGCATGGGAGCGTAATACCCGTTGGCTCAGTGTGCTGCCCTCTTTATACCCACGCATGAGCAACTTTAACACTTTCCATGTTCACCTTACTTTGCTTCTTTTTGTTTGCAGCAAACTATGATTGTCCTACAGAACCAGATGGTAGACTTCTTAGACAGGCTGCACCAAGCTGAGGTAGAGAGGAGATCACTGAAGAAAGAGAATGGTAGATTGCGGCAAGAGTCTGGTCAACTAAGACTATCATCGGGTATAGCTTCTGACCTGCAGCAGGAAGTAGCAAAGCTTCATGGAGAAGTGAGTGTGGGATTGGAATAAGTTGCACTATAACACAGATATACTTATATTGGACTAGTTATATGGCAGCAAAAGCCACTAGGCTGTTGTAGTTTTAAGATACCTAAAGAGAATTTCTGCCTTATTCTTTGTTCGTTGCTACAAGCATGTTTCTTGCATTTATTAATGGTACAGTCATGTAGATATAGTTACGGTACACAATTCCAAAAATACATTCATGAGCCACATGTGCAATAACCTAGAACATTGCCTGGTGCATCGTTTCTGAAAGGTGCATCTTGTGGAACTCAGTTGAAAATATGTAATGCAGCAATGATTTTTAACCGCACCTTATCCACTCTCCCTGTGGAGAGTGACTTGTATCCAATGCATTAGTTGCCATGTTACTTAAGTTATTATTGTCATTGTTTGGTAAGCTCCAGTAAGCCTTGGGATAGGGGACAGAAAGGCCTCAAGTTTCCTCACAGAACTAACAAAAATAAACATAGTGATTAGTGATGAAGTCAGGCTTTGTTATAACACAAAATCACCCCCTCCCCTTGCCATACTAGATTCAGAACTCTGTTGAGAGAGGAAAGTTTGAGAAAGTGTTCCAAGAGCTGCAGCAAGCTTTGGGTAGAGAGCAGGAGGCCCAGAGACTCCTGACGGAGCAGAGCACGAGGCTGGAGGATCTAGGAATACAACTCAACGTCAAGACTACTGAAGAGCTGGAGAAGGATCACAACATCACAGAGGCCATTAAGGTATGAGGGTGATGGGGAGGATGGGGATGAAAGAGAGGGAGCACGTAACGATGTGAAAGATAATAGAAGGATCACAACATCACAGAGGCCATTAAGGTATGAGGAGGATGGGGAGGATGGGGATGAAATAGAGGGAGCAAGTAACGATGGGGAAGATAATGAAGAAGATGAGGGGAATGTAGGAAGGAAGGAAGGGAGGGGGGAGACAGATAGAAAGAAAGAATTAAGAAAGAAAGAAAGAAAGATTGAGGAGGAGGAGGAAGGGGGATGAAGAGGAGGGGAGGAAGTAACAATTTTGAGCAGGTGTGTACATTACGATGCAGAGTAGTAAAATGGTGAAGAAAAAGAAAGGAAGGAAAGGAGGAACAAACAAACGAGAGAGAGAAAGAGAGAGAGAGAGAGAGAGAGAGAGAAAGAGAGAGAACAAGAGAACGAGAGGAGGAAGGGGGTGAAGAGGAAGAGATGAGGAGGAGGTGAAGGGGACGAGGATGGAGGAGGTAACAATGTTGAGGAAGGCTGGCCAATGTGAAGTAGAGTAGTCAAACGGCGAAGAGAAAAAGGAGGAGAAGATGGTTCCGATGCCAAGGAGAAAGGAGGAGAGTATTTTAAAGATTTTATGGATGAAGTAAGACAGGATGATGTGGAGGAGGAGGAGTAGTTTGTGGGGAAGCAAATGGTTTGAAGGATGGGAGGATGAAGATTATGAAATTGACGAGAACAGCATGTCGATGACAATTTAAAAAAAACTTCTTTGCAGGGCCTATCTGAAGCCAAGATGGAGCTGAGACGTAAAGAGCAGTCAGCGAGGCAGCTGAGCAGGCAATTCTCCCAGATGGAGAATGAGAGACGGTCGCTACAGGACAGTCTGGCTGCTGCGGAGAGCGCGATCAAGGCCAATACAAGGTACAATGCTTATATAGCGCTTAGTACAATGTCTCTAAGCTCTTTACAGATATACTATTACCCTGTTCATTGGATTCAATACTTGCCCGCACACCGTGTGCACAGTCTCCACTACCTGGGGTGCATTCCAGACAGGCGTTACTTGACGCTCAAAAACTGTTTGACCAACAATGATGGTCGTATCCTACCGGGTACCCATATTAAGTGCAAAGGCATGATACCCTGTGCCCAATGACCAAAATTGTAGTGTGCGAATGTACTGGAGCTACTCAATTCATGTACAGCATGTGCCATCCGGAATAGGTCTATAGCTCAAGGGGAGATAAGTTGTCTATTTGTAATTTTCATCTAATTTAGTATATTTTATGGTAAAGTTACATTTCACAAAAAAAGAAAGTTGGAAAGAGACATCACCACCCCTCCCTCTCCTGAAGAAATTGTGCTCATAGGTGTTAGCCTAGATGTCGGCTTTCTCTTACCAGTAATTTTATTTTTGATCTTTTGATATTGCAAATTTGTTAACCCATAGAGTGTGGCATAACCAGTCAATGACATTGTTGTAAATAAATAATCCAATTATTAAGTCAATCCTGAAATAAAATATAATCATGAAGTGCAAATTTTTATTATGACATTCTAGTAATTCCTCATATTTTCCTTCTCTTACCGCTGGCAATAGAGAAAACACCATTAACGCATGTTTTTGCACTATTTTCTGTTTGATTTCAGAGATCGAGAGAGCACCGTTACCCAGCTGAGGTCACTCCAGGCGGCTGTAGCTAACACAAAACACCATCTCCTTGCCAGAGCAGACAGCCAGATTATTGATAGTTCTTTATCAAAGGTATTGGAATGGTGATGACAATATGATGATTATGAATGATAGTGATGATGATGAAGGTGGTTTTGGTGGTGGTGATGATGATAATGATGGTGATGATGATGGTATTGGTAATGATAGTGGTGGTAGTAATGGTGGTGATGAAGATGATGATGATAATGTTGGTGATGATGATGAAAGTGATGTTAGTGGTGATGATGATGAAGATGATGATGATGATGATAGTGGTGGTGGAGGTGATGATGATGAGGTTTAAAGAATATGGTGTTAATGATCGATTGTAGACACCAGACTTTATTTGTTGTTTGTAGGAATAAATCATTTATTTCATATCTTACTTCCAGGTAGAGGCTCAGCTTCTTGTCACAGCTGTTTCATCTCCTGACATGATAGCTCTTCAAGTGAGTATATAATATAGTAATAAGTCTTTGTGTACGTCATCCCAGTCTGTCAATATTACAGAACCCCATTTGATTTAATGCTTAGTGATTCATGTAGCTTGCCGCCAGTGGAAGGGTCTCGACTTCTTAATACATTCATTCAATAGATTTAATAGACATTTCTTTTCTATCATATTGCGTAAAAGGTACGTTGTCATTTTTCATGACATCACAGTTGAAACAGAAAAAAACAGTTTATGGTACACTTACATTTCTGTTAGCAGAAAAAAAAATGATATGCTCCAAAGTTTACCTAAATCCAGGACATTTCCTGAGTATGAAATTAAGTACTTTTACATTCAATTTCAGTCATGAAGTGGATTGTTTTTAACAAAATTTGATGTTCAAAGCTGTTTTCGCTCTTTCTCTCTCATAAACACACGCAAATAAGGTAATATGTAGGTCATAATTAAACATATATGTGTGATTTTCAGTTGTATTATTTTTTTATTATCATCACTTCTCATTTTCCCAACCTGTTCTCCCTTTCAGAGCCTTGTGAGTACATTTGTTGAGACCCAGAAGACTGCCATCTCGAGACTAACCACCCTGGAGCTAGAGATCACCTCCCATAAGCAGCATATAGCCAGGCTCAAGGAGGAACTCTCTGATGCATGCAGCAGACAGATGGCAGAGGGAGAGGTAATAATAGTGAATGGCCTTGAGTAAGATATAAGAGAATATGCTTGCTGCAGGGGGAGGGGGGGAGGGTGTTAAATTTTCTGAAGCAATTTTTATCTCCCGTTTTTGTTTGCATGGCAACATTTATTATGAACAAAATTAAGCATGGCACCCTCCAATCTTTCGGAAGACACTAGCGTTGATATTCTGCACAGCTTTTACAATTCCCAATTTGCGCAACAATATGTTTATGAAATTCACAAGTGTTTTAGGTTCATGAAAATTTCTTTTGGCAAAAATGAATAACTCTCAACCGACAAATTTGTTGCTGCGACAATCGCTCTCTTTTACAAATTGTGAAAGTTTCATGTTGTGAAAGTTTCTGGTTTGGCAATAATTTTGCTTTCTTTTGTTTAGGTGACTCCGTCTGTGAATGGCTTTACATCTATGGCACAGACAGGAGACAGGTCTATAGGAAGATCCTACAAGCTAAACTATGAAACAGACAGGAGCTACAGAGATGTCTTTCTACCTCTCAGGTATGTCAAACAGTGAATGATTGAATTCAATAGCTGTGAAGAGTGAGTGAGTGAGAGAAAGAGAAAGAGAGAAAGAAAGAGAGAGAGAGAGAGAGAGAGAGAGAGAGAGGGATGGATGGAGAGAGGGATGGATGGAGAGAGAGAGAGGGGAGGGAGGGAGGGAGGGATGGATGGAGAGGGAGAGAGAGAATTACAAATGTGCACAAATTTCAAAGTCATAACATTGATGTAGTTCTTATTATTCGTTAATGTCACCAAATATGGCATTTTGTGGGAATATTGAATTGACCAAAGGAAGGTTATAAACAGCTCTGATAATTAGTAGCAACATGGCCATTTTTAACCTCTGTGAAAATGAAAACATTAATGTTGTATAAGCTGTATAACTTATATTTCAAGGAAATAACCTTGCTATTTTGACTCTTTTGATATATTATCAGAGGGAAAGATGAACAATAGAATGTACAAAGAAGTTAGACTGGCAAAATATCTTTGTGTATTGATGCGAGTTTGTTTTGATAGGTTCTTTAAAATGAGATTCCACTGTACTAGCTTTATAATGTTTAGCCAATACATGTACATGTGATATTTTGTGTATAATTCACAAATTTCTCTGTTCCTCGGTAGGATGTGTTAGTCTTTGTGATTGTATTGCATGCCTGTTAAAGGCTCGTTAAATGCTCCACAGAAGAGTGGAGAATGTGCAATTCTAAATGGAGAATCCTAATTAAATCCAATGACTGGGGTCATAATAATACCGGTAGTGCTCAGGATGGTTAAAGGGATAGTTGAGTTCTTGTTTCAGACCGCAAATGCCTTCAAAGTGCATGGTTATTGTTTTTTAAACGGCTGGTTCAAATTATTAAAAAACGTTATATTTTATGGGTATTTCAGCCATCTCTGAACCGATTTTGATCAAACAAAGATGATTTTGTCATTTGAATTGTATGTTCTTTCAAATTTGACACTCAGTTTTTCATTATCTCACAAAAATTATTTTGTATAGCGCCCTCTGCAACAAAACTCAACTATCCCTTTAACTTTGTAGGAAACAGTCATTATTCAGCCTTTGTGCGTTTTTATTGTGTTTGGCAGGGAAGTGAGTGATCACAGCATGCTTCACGTCATGTCTACACCAGCCATGGCAAGACAGGATTATCTAGCAGGAGTTGGGTAAGTAGACTTACAACACAGTCAAACCACCAAACTGATTCCAAACTGACCAATCATTTGAGCATGCAGAGTTATGAAATGTTTTTGATTGGTACTTCGTCAGCATGGTGTCAGATTACAGTAGGGATGGGTTTATTTTTTATTTTTGTTGTAGAGTTTTTTGTTTTTTTTACAGATTCAACACTATAACTTTGAGATTTTGGGGCACAATCCTAGTGTATGACTTTAAAGATTCTATGTCCCTTTTGCAGCCAACATCAAATTCTGTAGAACTTTGCAGGAATTATGAATATGTTATGTATGTCCCATCTGTAAAATTTAAACTTGAGCAGTGTCCTTATATTCAAATCATGCCAAGAAACCTGTTTACTTGCTAGACTTTACTGTCAGATACTATTGAGTGACTGACTGGCTTTTTTCATCTTCGGTAATAACATACATAAAATGAGCTGTAAACGGTACATGAGCATTTGTCTACATCAATAACTCAGTTCTTGTAATGGCCAAAATTAAACTGATTGAATCTTTGCGCAGCATAAAACGTACAACCATTCGGTACAATGGTCTGAAAAATCAGACTATTACTTACTGGCTCTATAGCTCCTAAGTTGATTCGACAACTAACTTAAAGATATTTTCAAGCCTCCTTTTTTTTAGGGAAGTTCTAAATTAGTATTGTCTTTCAAATGCCGTTGGAATTTAACCTTTTCATTTTTTTTGGCCTGCAAATGGGACATAGTACCTTCAATATGTGCTTAGAGACTTCGGTGGTAAGCACTTTATAAGCAATGTTTTTATTATTATTATGTACAGTGTATGGAGATATTTTGTATATCATAACTATAAACCATATCATAAATCATTATCATCATATTTTTATTTTGAGTAAAATAATTTTTGGTTTAGTTTTCTCAGGACTCATAAGTCATAAGAGCCATCTATTTTAGAAAAAGAACTTTCACTCCCTCACATAAATAGTAGATAGATTTTAAAAGTCATCGTGATTATGATCATCATATTTGTACCTATTACCATATTACTGATATCAATGTAATTATTATCATTGTTATTACTATCACAATAATTGTTCTAATTACATCATCATAATTATCACAGGATGTGTACTCCGGCAGGCATCAGTTCGTCTCCCATCAAACAACCCAGAGTATGAACAAACGGTTACATGGAATCAGCAAGACACGGACCCTCGTCAGCTCTAATGCAGAGTGGAAATCTGGGCAGTAAACTACACTTCCAATAATCCTTCCCACCAATGCCAATCCTGAATCGGAAAAGCACCTTGATTCTTCCCATTACCTCAGTACCAACAAATGTGTTGCCATGTAGTGTAACATATTTTTTAATGGTTCAGTTTATTGTCTGGTGTCAGGTAATTTATTATTTAATCGGTGTTAAAACATAACCTATATATAGCAACTTTTTAGCAAGGAAGCAACAAAAAAAAGTCTTTACTGTTTAGTAACTTAAATATATTTGTATGTTATTAAAAGAAAGATTTTTAAAACAAAAAACATTTTTTACTGCCCTCCTCCCATTTAAAAAGATACTTCAATTTGCAAATTGGTTTGCTTCCAGATCATTAGGGAGATCATTGTTTGTAACTCTACATATTCCAATAGAGAGATCATTGGTGGGTTCTTGTATTGTTCTCATGTATGTTTTTCCTGGTTTAAAACTATGAAAATTTAAGGAAAACTGATAGTACTCTAATAAACATACATAAACCTTGCCATTGTATATTGTATTTATATATAGAAAGAAAGAATACACTGAAAAATATGCTCTTTGTTATTTCTTTAATTTTTAATGCAATATATACAAAACCTTTGATAAATGTACAAATATTTCAATATAACATGTTTAACTTAATAAAATGTGAAAGACACAAGGAAACTTCCCAAGAAGGCAGAGGTCTGGTGAAAACAAACATTCAAGATGTAAGCAAATTACAGACAACTTCCTTTTTTTAACAAACAGAAAATTGATTTTAGATTTTCCTAAGGAATGAGTTCACCACCAAAGTACTTTGCAAATTTTATATGATACAAATTCTTTTCAAAGTATTTTTTACATTATATACATTTTTGCACATTTTCTTTTTAAAAGAGTGAACTATACAAGATATTTCAGATGCGATATATGGCAGCTGCAGTAATTTATGTTTATTTTTTAACTTCATTCATTAAACATATATATCACTCTCTCTCTGGACACCCCCACCCCCACCCCTCCCCCCTCCCACTCCCTTTCCCTTTCCCATCCTAGCAGCTACCCCAAAGTAATATAACTCTTAAATAAGAATGTCATAATATTTTGGGTTTTTTGCTTCAACGAGCAGTAATTTTATGAATCCTGTGTAAGTAGGGAGGATCAACCTAAACCTAATCCTAATACCTATAGAAAGAAGATTAAGTACAAAACTACTTTAATACAGGACTGTGATTGCTCTTGGGATTATTATTATTATATTTTGATGAGTGCACAGGAAAAGTTTTAGTTTGTCTGTACAAACCATTACCTTGATATGTTTATAAAGTACAGTGACAAAGAGATGTGAAACTCCTATTAAATAAACATTGTAAATATGTAAATACACCTTCACTTTAATTTATCTATGAGGGCATTCATATATTACCTTGACATTTATCCTAGATTGAGATACCTTTTTTATAACATGAACTGTAAAAAGTATTTGGTAAATTGACAGGAACTTTTTTTGAATTGCATTTTTGGTAATTGTATATAATAGAAAATTATATTAGGTTTGTAAATACCATTTTAATGTATCATATGTGTATTCAATGTTGAAAGACAATTATTTAATATAATATGTAAATACATGTATGTTTCCTGTGTTGTGCTATATAACTATTTCCTGAAATTCACATTCCCTGTTTTCTGGAATAAATATTTGTAACAAAGAATCTGATTGCCTATGTTATTATTTTGTAATTAATGTTTTTTTTCTTCTTTTAACTTTCTTTAATACGACCAGATACAGTGCCCATAAAACATTGCCTTGGAATGACCCAGAAGAAGAAAAATTACTACTTTGAAAAGGAATCGACATATTATTACAGGAAACTAATACTTTGCATTACCCATTATTTTCAGCTCAGGCACAAGGGTGCTTCCACTAAAAATCTACCTTGTATTAAGGATGAGATGCCCATCAAATACCAGTTGCAGTTCCCAAATAAAAGCAAGGCACATAGAAAATGGAAGCAAGAATCCAAAAGCCAGCCCCCTTATTCTTCTGGAAGTATGGCTGTCAAGTACCTTTCAAGTAACCTCAAATTAAATGGAAATATTAAATATTATTATCTATATAAGGCTATCTTTAGCGCAATACCCGAATGACTGACCAATATTATCCGGAAACTTCAACTATCAATATCGATATACAAAAACAAAGCCATATTTACTAAGATAAGTCAAATTTTGTTATTTTGCTAGTCAGCCTGATTTAGATAATAATAATATTATATGGCTTTGTTTTTGTGTGATGCAAGAACATATTACTCTTGCTATGGCAATATTGGACCAGTCGTTGACTCGTTCAATATAGTCATAGCTAGAGCAATATATTCTTGTATCACACTCAAAGCCATCCAATATTATATAAATATGTTTGATAATCTCTATCGTCATCTTGATCCTCTTGCCAGAGCGAGAGCTTCATCTCGTGTGTGTAACTTCTCCATCATCAAATCCTTCAACTTCTTCCTCTGAAATTTCTGAAATCACAAAATAGAAGATTTGACAATATGATGTAAGTGTTAGCTGCTAACACCATTAAACTGTTTGCTTCTTACAGAATATAAATAGACCTCTGGTACCTTTAAAGGGGAAGTCCACACTAAGTTTGTTTTAATAGAAGCAAAAAATGAGAGGAAAGGGTAGGTGAAAGTTTGAGCAAAGTCCGATTAAAAATAAGAATGTCATGAACTGTTGAAGTTGCAGTTAATCAAACGCAAATTTGCAACTGAACTCTGTGAAGTACCGGTATCTTGCGAGGTCCACTCCTATTTGTTCTGTATTAAAACAAATTTTTTTAAACAAGGAAAAAAAAGGAGAAATATTTTTAAGGCAAGAAAGAAGAGCGGTCAGGATTAGCTTACACAAGAAAGATTCAAGAGCAAGGAAATTGAGTTCAGGCACAGCACCAACAAAAAAATAAAAAATAAAAAATGAAAATATACCTTAGAGTTGAGCACTGTCTTGACTTTTTGATGCCACTCACTGTCTTGATCATGGGACTCCAGCTGCTTATTCTGAGCAAATGAAAAAAGAAAAAAAAAAACCCAAGTTGTTCATTCCAATTATTCATCGATAAGTACTTTGTTAACAAAAATGTATTCATATCTGTCAGAAATATGACTATCTACAGAATTGAGGAAATATTTTTTTTTTTTGTTGAAAGATGAAAAAACGTATTTTAAGAGGTGATGTTATCGTATTTCACTCTTATTATCGTACTACATACAATTTAATCGTACTGGTTGGCATCTCTGTAAGCTGTATGCAAGGTCATTACTCCCACTGACAATAAACAGCTCTTGCAGCCTTGTTGCAGGTAGGTGATGAAATACCTTTTCTGGTGGATGCCTGACCTTGGCTTGGTAGATTTTCTGAAAGGAAATATGATGGTCGTTTGACCAGGTGTAATCCTGTAACATCAACCCAAAAAAAATATCATTCCCCCCCCCCCCCAAAAAAAAAAAAAATAATAATAATAATAATAATAATAATAATAAAAGTGATAATTATAATTAAAATAAAAAATATGAATAAATATAAATAAATACAAATAAAATAAATACAACAAAAAAAGAAAAAAAAAGTAAAAAATGAAATTTAAAAAAATGTGTTAAACACGCCTAAACATCAGTGTCACCCTGAATTAAATAGAAAGATTTTTGTTACCGGTTGAATTTGCTCTTGTTTCTCCTCCTCCATGAACTGTTCCAGGTCCTTTGTGCTCAAGTTAAGGATGGAGGATGCAATGCTCTGGGCTCTTTTCATGGACTGGTCCTTCTCAGGGTCTGGTCCAGGTCCAGGGGTGGTGGTCCTAGAACGCTTTGTTAGGGCCTGGTCGAGGGCAGTTTGAGTTTGTGATGAGAATTCAGTTGCCAAGTCCTGGAAGGGGATGGACGTTATCAGTCAGTGGAAAAAAGTTCTCTTGTATCAGGCATAAAACATCCCTCATGGGCCAGAAATACAGTGGAACCTCATTATAAAATGCTCTAATATAACGAGGTATCTGATATAACAAGGCGATCTATAAACTATTTTGTTTCTACCCCCCCCCCCCCCCCAATAACAAGTTACAACAACTGTTATCAGCTACTGAAATCCTTACATTTGATTGGCTGTGAGGAGATTTGTTATAGGTCTGTGGCAGATGTTAATCATAATAAGTTTTATGAAACTGGTCCCTAGCTGTACCTCAATAAAGCCTTCCAGCTCTCTGATCCTAGATTGCAGTTGCTTGATCTTGATGTGAGCAGCATCTAACGCCGTCTCTGATTGGCTGGCTAGCATCTGAAGCTGCTGGGATGCCATCGTCTCCATCTCGTTGAGGGCGCTCTCCGCTTCACTCAGTTTGGAAAGTGTGTCCTTGATCACAGCGGCCTAGATCAATATACAGTGCGTCCCAGAAAAAACGAAACAGAGAATTATCAATGTTTTATCATAACTCAATCACAATCATAATTAATAAATTAAACATATTTGTAAAGCTAAGATCACCCTCTTTCATTTGATGTAATTCATATGATGAATATTTCACGCAAGAGTGATTAAAAACAATTTGAAGAGAGGGTACCCAAAAGTCATTGGCGAGCGGTATCTGAATTTCATGGAGAAAATCACATTTCTAGAAAGTTCATTTTCTGCCCTTTCATATGACACCTCAATCAAGAAAAATAAGCCAGGAATAACAAAGTTCTGTTTGTTTAAAGTAATGCTTGCATTTCCATAATTTGATTAAACAAATTCATTTTCACTGGCTGCCTGCCATAGCAACAAACAGAGTTGACAAAAGACTGAACTCTGTTTCGTTCATGATCAGCCATGCATCAAGTCTTTGTGCATGCTGTTCATTTTGAATAATTTTGTTACCAGTAATATTTCCCTGTCTGGTTCAAGCATAGACAATAAAACTGCAAAGCACTTTGTTCCTCACATTTGATTTCCATTTTTAAAAGCCACATCCATAGCACTTATTGTTAAGAGTATCGGTAGAGAGAAACAGAGCTGGATTGTATCATTTGAATCACAATTCTCTGATGAATATGCTTTGAATATTGCTACTACAATACTCCCTAAGACAACACTCCCCTCCCCCGATTAATGACTGTCAAATGGTAATTACTACAAATATTTGCCCCAAATCAATGCTACGCACACGACAAGGACTGTTTTTAATCCTGATTAAACTGAATTTCATGTCTTTACAGATAATATTACCTTTTTCTCCAGCTCACTCTGAAGATCAAACGTCAGCTGCTCGTAGTGATGCTTCTCTTTGGTTACCACGGCAACCCGCTTCCTCAAAGAATCAATCTCCACTTTCTTCTTGTCCAGTGTCTCTGTTAGTCCTACGATCTTGCTTTCCAGCATATCCTATTACCAAAGAAAGAATAAAATGAGAGTCCTTATTACAAGTCTTGCAATTTGTGATCTTGAATTACAGATATAGACATGCTTTGATGAATAATAATGAAAATATTATCACTTGGTGATTTGGGGTAAAAGGAAAAAAGATAACATTTTAAACATTAGTTAGTTAGGGTAGTATAATTTGGTGATAACAGAGGTATAGAGATATTGATAAATAGGGGGATAGAGAGAAATAAAGAGAGAGAGGGGGGGGGGGAGAGAGAGAGGGGGAGCTAGAGCGAGAAATAGAGAGAGAGAGAGAGAGGGGGGAGAGAGAGGGGGAGAGCGAGAAATAGAGAGAGAGAGGGAGGGAAAGAGAGAGAGAGAGAGAGAGAGAGAGAGAGAGAAACAGTGGGGTGGTGGTGTAATTTCATTTTCAAAGGAGTAATACATAATCTTTGGAAGAGTTGAACATAACTCCCTATTTTGAATACTTAAAAGAACATTTTCCTCAAAATAGCCCCCCCCCCCCTTTTTGGCATAAAAATCACTAATAAAATGGGCTCTTAATCAAACTATCTTTTGGGCTTATTGAGTAGACGTGCACAATAAGTACCCTCTTTTGCAAATTCATGTACATATTCGTTCACAAACATTATTATTTAAAAAAACGTAAACCCGTTTGTTGAGTCTATGAATGACCCTGAAAATGACCCCTTTTTACAAGAAATGTCTAACTATCACGAGTACACAAAGTCGATACTGAATTATGGCACCACCAAGGGGGGGGGGGGTGTAAGATATTACAGACAGGAATTTAAGAGGTAGGAGCTAAATGACAGAAAGGGAGGAAGGATAATGAATGGAAGATACATCAGGAGAAACAAAAACAAACATACAGAAATGGATAGGAAAGAAAATTAATAGAATAGAGAGGGATAGCAAAATGGAAAGGGAGGTAGGAAAGGGAGGAAAGATGAAGGAAACTGCATCACAGAAAGAAAGAAATTGAGACAGTAAGAGCAGAAATAAACTTTGAAAGGCAGACATAGGAGCAAGAAAGAAGAAACTATAATTGATAGACATGTGATAGAGGAAGAGAAGGTTTGAAACAATGACAAGAGATTGAGAGTAAAATAGGATATAGGCTTCAGAGGGAGAGCAGAAGCACTGACAGAAAATTGAAGGAGAGAGGAAGAGGGAGCAGAAAATTTGAAAGACACAGACTTGAGACTCGAGAGGGAGAATCAAAGTAGAAAGAGAGTTTGGAGAATCAAGAGATCAGAGAGAAAGTATGAGATAATGTACACCGGTAGATATGAAATGGAAGATTTATTTGTATAGGACAGATTTTATTTCAAAACTAAGACTCTGTGATAAAGAGAGAGAGAGAGAGAGAGAGAGAGAAGGAAAAAAAAAGAGAAAGAAACAGGAAACAATGGAAGAGAGAGAGAGAAGAGGTGAGAAAGAAGAACAAAGACATACTTTAGAAAGTGAGAGTAGATCAAAAATACTGAGAACTGAAAGAGAAAGAGAGCAGAAAACGTTGAAAGGCCAGTCTCCAACATATTCAGTCAAATTGCTTACAACCCACCTTTTATGCGAAGACCAAAACTCTTATACCATCACTTAACAACAGACTTTCATTAACACAATTCTACACATAGTTCACAATTTGCACTTGCATATTTCATATCTTCCAACAATATAAAATCTCATCACACTAAGATAGTAACAATTGAAATTAGACTCCACATAGTTTTTTCTTTCTTTTTTCAAACATGTTTATTTCCTCTCATGGGAAAATTGCGATCATGATCATATTTACAAACAATAACATCATTATAACAATAAATTACACAAGCATAATTCAATATATTCTGGAAAAGAAAGTTCATTTTCTGAAGCAAAGTTCATTCTTCAGGGGCGGTGTGCATCGTCCTCGAAGCCACACTCAAGAAGACAGCCAAGTTGTCCCTCAGAGACTCCAATCTCCTAGTGGTCTTGGTCAGGTTGACGATGCATCGCAGGCAAGGTACGTTGTCGTCTAGCATGAACTCAGCTAACGAAGTCACCCTTGGCAAGATCTCCTCGTCGATGCGCTTGATGTTCCGGGTGAGGAAGACATGGAACCGCTGGACTGTAGTCAGCGTCGAGTCATCATGGTCAGGAGAAACCTCAGCGCTTTTGATGATGTCATCTAGCAGCTCCTCTTCGATGCACTCGTGATATCCAGGGGACGATGTCGTAGCTGGGTTGGCAGACGAGAGACGCGATCTGTTGCGGTTGTTGATCATCCGCTGAGCGTGATCCTCGATGGCGGCATTCGACAATCGGTAGGGGGCGAAGCTTGGAACACCCTCAGAGTCTTCCGAGTCGTAGGAGTCTGCACCGCTGTCGTAGGAGTCCAAATCACTGTCGAGTTCAGTCCCGAGTACAGATGCTGCGTTGGAGTAGCCGAAGGGAAGCGTGGTCAGTTCCCATGTCCGCTCCTCCGGAAGCATGACATCATCGGTGTCATCGAAGCCAAACAGCGAGTTGCGAGGAAACTGGAACTCAGGGACTGGATTGAAGACCAGGACCTCGTCGGAAGCAGATTCGTCGGCGTTGATGGGGTGGTGGTGCAGGGGCGCTGGTACCAGGGGTGTCGATGCAAACGGAGTGAAGTACGGCAACGGAGCTGGTGGTACTCCGATCCCGACTATTCTAGGAGGGCTGTCTGGTGATGATGCCTCCTCAAGGATTTGCAGACGAAGGGGAGAAGCAGGAGGGGAAGCAGTACGGCTAGCCTCGACCGGGATGGCTTCGTCATCTTGGATGGTAGAAGCTGTGGGCTCGGTGGAAGACTCTTCTGAAAATAAATGAAAAAAAGAACAAATAATTAGAACATCAATCATTAAGATCTTTGAATCTGCATATACTTTGTGATTGTGATATAATATAAATACATTTTGCTTCACATTCTCTGTTGAAAGTATTTCATGATTCAATTTATATGGGATTTTGAAAATTTAACTATCACAATCACTAATAGAATGAGCCATTTTAATTTAAAATATCCAACTTGAAATATTGATTTTAAATTTTAATTTGCAATAAAATGGCAACAAATAGAATGAATAGACATCGATCTTGCTGTAATTTTAAAGTTTTAAGAACAGGTCTAAGACTAAGGCCGAGAAAACTTTTCAAATCAATATTTGATTTATATTTAGTTGCATTTATTGTCTGCTGATTGTCTCAACTTACCACCATTATCAATGATCTCTGCCTTGTAGAAGCTGCGCTTGTATCGAACTCGGACCTCCTCGCCAACACTGAGATGACCCCTCTGACGAACTCGGCTACGGGAGACCGTCTCCTCCATGCCGCGGTAGCGGAGTGGTTGAAGCCAGCGGACCATAACGACAGTGGTAGGCATCTTCTTTAAGATGTTTATTTAGTGACGAATTGAATTTTGAAGTAAGACTTGGGAATAATCTTGCGAAGAATTAAGTAGCGATGTTTACTCGACCGAAGCTGATGATGGTATAATTAATGCAGTGCAGTTTAAGGGTTTATATATCATGATCGCATTGCCATTGGCTTTTGACAATAACTTTATCTGGGCAACGGTCTTTAGAAAACTTTTAGACCAATCGCGCACCGCTATTCATCGTAGCTATAGCTAGCTAAGCTCCGAGCTTCGGCGCACAATGCGCGGTGAGCTGTACCCATTATGTTCGGTTGGCTTTACGCTTTTGTTATGAGCAAACTCTAGTCTATTCATTGTTATCGTTGGGACAGGTCCTGCTCTCTATTCCTTTCAACCCTCTTGGAATTAGAAGCCATCACAACTATGGAAGGTGTACGAAAGATATAATCCTTATCGTTCATGATACGTCGACTTATGAGGTTAAATGATTGAAACATAGTAGTTAATTGCCCATCCCTCCTCTACCTTTTCTATAGTGACAGGCTTTTTGGTCTGAAAAACTGTTGGACAAAATATGCATGATAACCCATGGTACCGAATATCGCATACATAAAGGAAATGTAAAATAATGAAATAAATGTTAATAAATAGATCTATAAAGTAACAAGAAAAGGTGTTTGCCAGGGCAATTCGCCATTATTATGTATATAACAATTAATGTTGATATCCCTAATGACTTTCTTAACTGAGCCTATAATGTAGTTTCTATATATTTTTTTTATGAACTCTTAAAAGTATTTGTTGCCTTTTATCAAAGTCTAATACATACCGAAATATGCTAATAGTTACTTTTCATCGGATTTAAAAACTATACCGTCTATACTATAATGTTACATTAAGATATTATAAATATGCAACAACGTTTTCTTGAACGAAAAGCAAAGCAAAACAATCATTACGAGGATACAAAATACTTATTTTGTTTATACATGTTCTTACTTATTCTTTATTGCTGTTATGAATTTATGTTCATGATTTTGTTATTATTATCATATATTTTTTAAACTATTGTTCCTCATAATGTTTAATAGGGCCTTATTGCATAATGAGTCACCATGTCTAAATATCAGAAGAACATTAATTAATTAGAAATGTGGCTTACGGGGCGACCCCGGGGGAGGGGAGATTGGGGGGCCGGGATGAAACAAAACAAATCAAGAAATAACAAGAGAGAATGAGAGATGGGAATGGATATCAGCCTGACCTCAATGAGTGCATGTAAAGTAAGTTTGAAGGCCGTGTGCACCTTAATGAAAACATTTATCAAAATCATAGATTCAAATGAGTGTCCGCCATTATTTCAACCAAAGTTATAATTAAAGAAAAATTCCATTAACATTAGCAGTTCTCTGCACTTTACAATTCGATATGGAATCACAAGTAAGTTGCAAAATTTAAAGCTATATATTGACCAACTGAATTTATTTGAAATGCGTCAAAGATTTTAACCTGATATTGATATTGTTTGAACTGAAGATATCAAGCAGTTTGTAACTTTATTCGAGGTCTATATATAGCAATTTATCCCCCCCTCCCGAAAAATTTGATAATTATTTTCAACAAAAAAGAATCGCCGTACATATTGCAGTAAATATACACTCTAAAAAACATAAACTAGATCATAAAATGTATCTAACTTATTCTACAACATAGGATAATAAAAATGCACAACATTGGTGAAATTCGTAGAGGTTGAAAAAAATACTTCACTTTCCATTAATACGGCAAGTTCAATGTGAAACGAAAACTATATCGAGACATCAGACGGTGGTCTTGTTTGAAAGAATAATTTTGACATTTCCCAATCCCGCAATAGAATATTGTTTAGGTCGACGTACAAGTTATCAAGCAGTAAAAAAACAAACTATAACCTAATAAACGCCAGTACGTAATGTTGAGTTGGTTATTGATGTTAAAAAACAGGCGTGCATAACGACAGTCATAAGCCTGAAATAAAAAGAAGGGGGGCAATCTACTAAAACTCCATGCATACGAAATTGATATGGTAAAATAGAAGAATAAAATGCACAGTAAATGGGGGAAATGAAAAGGATAAGAAAATTATTGGATAGTCAAAATAAAAGGACAAACTAGATACACTGTAGAATGCAAGATACTTAGATTAAACAAGAAGAGCTGGATTGAGAATTTAAAAAAAAATTTTTTTTTTACACACAATAATTACACAGGACTGTTGCATTAAAAGACCAGCCTTTGGTATAATAGATTTACTTAACACTGCTAAGGTATATTGCAAAATGTTATCTTTAGTTGAACATTGATCTTTAAAATAGTAAATTGATTTCAACCGTTAATGAGAATATTTATTATAAGACAAATTCATACAAGGAAGTATTGATGTGTAAAATGTGGTGTTTTGTTATCCTAAATTACTTCATAATATATCCATATTCGTCAAGAGTTTTATAGTTTTATACAACGTTATTGTTGAGATGTTTTGTTTTTTAATCGATCCATGTTAAATGCTTCTTGATATTCATTTTTGTTTGTTTGATACGTCACTTTTATTCAACAGCTTTTTTAATTTTTTTTTATAAACTACTTATTATCATTTATTTATTTGTTATTAAATGTAAGCATAGGTTCATAATCTTTTTGGTGTATGTGTGTGTTTGGGGCAGTGGGGTGAATCGAAGATTAATATCTCAATCACTTTCTTAGGTAATAGTTTCCACTTTCCAGCTTTCGCTTAACAATTGTCGTTCTTGGTCTCAGAGCGGTAAGATGAAGGCGTTCTCGATGATTGGCTGGGCGATGATTAAAGCCCGAATACCGCCGCCCAATCACAGAGCTCCAACTCGGGTAACATAAGCCTTTAAGAAGAATGGGGTCAAAAGGCGCCGCGCATGCTCGGTTAGCGCACGAATTAATAAAGATGAAGACAGGAAACAAAAGGGCCTTTTGACAAGCTGTCAGTCATCGCTCTGTGTGCTGGCGATCGCTTGGTTTAATAGCGAATAATAGATTAAAACAGGTAACAATAGGGCACACTTGAGGAGAGAGCCCCGAACCTGTCCCCCTTGATTCGTTGTCAATCATCGTGGATAGCTAGATCTTGGGGACAATTTCAGGGAAGGATTATGGAGCCCTTTTTCTGTCTATCGGTTTTAGTTTTAATTTATTTAGAACAAAATGATTATGAAACATATTTATTTCAATGAAATAAGTTTACTTCATCGTTCCACCTTGTTATAGTTTCTTTTCAATTTTTTTTAATTCTATCATTTAATATTTGAATAACTTGAGTTAAAGGAGAACAATAATATTCTCTGTAAAATCACAACTTTATCTTCTATTAAAAGAAAGAGAAAACAATCCCCTTAACCACATTGTTGAAGGTTATAGAATCCATCCGATTCACTTATCTGAAAATTGTTTCATTAGTTTTAAAAACGCATCTAATTACAATGTATTGTAAAGTTACAATAGTATCACTACATTTGAAAACCATAAAGAAAAGACTTGAAAATGAAAAACATCGGAATAAAAGCTCGCTATCATTAATTTATTAGGCATCGGAAATGCCTTTCTTCTCATTTCGTAGCATTCAACTTTAGCGATTAATTAATATTGACTTGTTCACCAATCCGCAACTGCAAATATAATTTTGATTTTTAATCCGACTCTTGTCAACTCTCTCTCTCTCTCTCTCTCTCCTCTTCTATAAAAAAAAACATTTTCCGACTAAACCACCGACACTACATCTCTAAAATACAAATTTTGTTGAAATGCCATCAGCTGGATATGTTCAATCCAATGTTAATGTTGGATATTTACTTAATCATATTAATAGTTTACATTCTGTTTCATTCTGACGGTGGAATATATCACCGGATATGGTATTGAATACATGGTATTGAATTGCTGTATGAAGCGGAAAGAACACGGGCTTGTAATCCTATCATACCATGTCCGTTAGGGTAACCGTCCGTTAGACGGGGTCGTTATTGTGTTAAGGATATAATGAAGTGTATTTGCCAGACTGTCAAATAAGATATGGAAGTTAGAATTATATTGTTGGTATTCAGGGCCTCGTATTGTAAAGTGTAAACAGTTATTTGCGAATGATATCAATCGCAACTATAGGAACATAGTAGATAAGAGACTGCAAACGTGCGATAGATTCTGTCAATCGCAATTCTTTATAAGATGGGACATAGGGTTTCATCTTAATTCTCACTTGATTTTCTGTCTGTCTGTCTTTCTCTCTCTCTCTCTCTCTCTATACTGAACTTAATTTATAACCAAAATTTAGATAGTACATTTACTGTCTTTACAGATATTGTGGAAGTGCTATTTAAACAGCTGCATGTTAAATCCATTTTATAAAAGGTCGGGTGCTAGTATAGTCTTAATTCATTGAATAGAATATCACCTGTTATCTTATCGAATGTATTCGTATATATTAAAATAATAACTAATACAAAGCGGGAAGAACTACATCTTGTATAATAATCTTTAGAGTCCGTTAATCAAGGAGAAGCGGTATATAAAAATAATACGTTGTCAGGCAAGCCAATTGGCCAATGTTATAATAGTAAATTAATATGGACTTGCCCCAAAAAGCGAGTTCGTCGGTCTTCTTTTCAAATTCTTATTTTGAATCATCCTTTGAAATGAAAAAATGACATTAAGGAGACTTGGAAATAGACCAACCATAATGGTTCGTTCGTTCGTGTCTCCTTAGATCAAGATTAAGATCAAGACACGTTGCCCCGGGGTGCGAGATAGGACTCTCAGGCGCGGATCCAGGGGGGGGGCCGAGCGGGCCTTGGCCCCCCCCCCCCCGCAAAAAAAAAAAAAAAAAAAAAAAAAGAGAGAAGAAAGGAAAAGAAGGGAAAGGGAAAGAGGAGAGAAAGGGAAAGAAAGAAGAGGAAGAAGAAAAGAAAAGGGGGGAAAGGAGATCGGGGGGGGCGAAAGGGCCTTGCCTCCCAGGCTGTTGACCCCCCCCCCCCTCCCCCCAATCAAAAAAATAAGAGAGAAGGAAGGAAAGGGAAAGAAAAAAGGAAAAGAGGAGATACTGGCGTACCGATGGGGGGGGGGGGGCTTGGGGGAAATCAAATTCAAACGTGGTTTATTTCTAATTCCACAACGGTGGATTACAAATAATGCTGATATGACATAATTTCCGAGATTTTTCCTCACTTTTTAGTAAATTATACGTTTGTATGTGTTTGTTGGAAAATGACAAATTCCTAAATTTACAGCCAGGCAAGAAATATGATTCTTGAGATTCCTACATGTCAGTGCCCGAGGTACGGCGGGGATCGGGAGCA